CATTATTTGACAGAACGATGTACTTGAAACGGAATTTTTTTTCCCCGTCTGTACAGATGACAATACGTTATCGAAAGGATTCCTGTTCACACGGATCCGTGAAAAATACTAAAAATGCTGTATTATGCATGCCAGGCAAGTAGTTGGCAATGTCACTTTGTAAAGAAAGACTACGCGTCTGCGCACATATGCATTTAAATGCGCGTGCCTAGACTAAACACAATACGCATGTGCATGCCGTCGCTGTTTTCACAGATTCGCGTTTTTGAAGTTTACACAGAGATGTTTGCAGTATACTTTTCAAAAACTTGCCCTTTGAAGCCAGTTTCAAAGTTTGTGTTCTCAGGCCACCAGAACGCTGTTGTCGTGTGAACAGCCAGAACGCATAAAACATTTTCTGTTTTCCTTTGAAAACTGTGTCGTTTAAACGGCCTCATAATTAATAAATTAATAACTGATTTTTACAATTAGTCTATTAGAAATGAATCAATGCTGAACTTACTTAAGCTAGACAATGACACTGCTGTACAGCCAAAACAATCTTTGGTGCATGAATTTCCTGTTATCACTGTAAAGCTGCTTTGAAACAATCTGTATTGTAAAAAGCGCTGTATAAATAAAGGTGACTTAAAGGTGACTTGACAGAAAATTTGGTCACAACAGAACAGGGTGGATAAAAAGATAGGCCTATGTCATTTGCAGAGGTGTAAAGTCCAGGGGTCAGAAAGTTAAACTCCTGCCATATGTTTATTCCACCCATGAACTGATTTCACTAATTAGTTCTATCTACTGGCTGAAAAACTGTGCTAATTAGCACATCCAGGTGATTGGAACAAAATACTGAGGAGGACTTTTACTCTCTGAACCTGGACTTTACACCTCTGGTCTTTTGATTTCCAGGCTGCAGCTGCTATTCGAGCTCTGCAGCACCCTAGATGCAGTGTCCACATAGGTTTTCTCTCTTTTCAGATTCTCCTCATTAAATGCTAGTAATAAGAAACAGACTGAAAGGGGGTGGGAGGAGAAAGAGGGGTAAAGATCACTCACAGCTGCGACTGTGGTTAGGGGAAGCTCCCCTCGAAACTGGACACTTCCCATTAGTGTATCTCCCAAAGTCCTGTATGAAACTCCCTTTAACTCTTTTGTATACATTGGCCTTGTTGAAATGAACAGCTTAAAGAAATAGTTCTGTCCATTTGACTTTCTTTTGTCTATAGAACACACACACACACACACACACACACACACACACACACACACACACACACACACACACACACACACACACACACACACACACACACACACAAGTAAATAATGTACTGGTAACACTTATCCATTCAAGAAAATGCACTTTAAAACTTTAAAAAGGATGCAAAAGAACCATAATTACATTCAATGTCTCCTGAAGTTATTATAGTTTTGTGGGTGGAAAAGTCCAAAATGTAAGTTCTTATCTTCATTAATTCAAGATCTGGATCAGACGAGTTCTTGATCAAATCAATTGAAAACCTGCTCTGTAGACCTGATCAACTGATTCATTGAAAAGATCTGACTCAAAAAAGTATGATTCATTCACAGTGCTACTTCTCTCATGAACTCTTTCAGAACAGAAAAGTGAATAAGCTATAAGTGAATAGCTTCAGAAGACTTATAAGAAATATATGACCTACTTTTATGATCCTTTTGTGGTCCGTTTTGAAGCTTGAAAGCTCCAGTCCCCATTCATTTTAACGGAATGGAAAATAGCAACTAGCACAAAAATGTCTGGGTTTGCTAATCTCCCTATTTTAGCTCTTTAATACGATGGATTGCCAATGCATTAAGATGTAATCTCCATTTAAATGTCAGGGGAATCTACATTTTTATAGATGCAGTATGTCTATATGTTCAACACATACCCACTATAGTGTTCATCTATCATACATCCCTTCATTCATCTGTCTTTCAATCAATATTTGTCATTTCATTCATATTTCTCTCTGTATTATTTATGCAGACTTACATAATCACAACCTACTCAGGTTGGAAACTTTTTCCTTTATGTAGGTTAGCAGATGTACAAGTCTAGCCCCTCTCCAAATCATCTTGACTCATCCAAGACCATGGAGAAACCCGACAATCTCTCTCTCTCTGTCCACAGGGAGTAATGAACATAATGAGTGGAAGAATGTAGGGAGTAACTGTGCTCTCTTGCTAAAATGCTTCATAAGTTCCCTTTGGAGAAGAAACAATAAAACATGTACTCCTCTTAGAATGATTCACTACAGCTGTCATCCAGACTGCAGACATAACTGGTCTGGATGTCCAGCTCAGGTCATGTGTAACTGCAGCAGATTACCAGAGGATACAATGGTTGCACTCATCTGGCGTATTTGGAGCTGTTTTCACACATACAAGTGTTCCTAAAAAAAACAGCTGACAGCCTAAAATGAGTTCATGTGGGTAAGTAAGGGTGAGTCGGTGCAAAGAAGGAGTTTCTGTGTGAGTAAAAGCACAATCTGACTGACTGGAGACTGAATCCAAAGCTTAGCCATTCCTTAATGTTGCCCTGGTCAATGTCATTAGCCGCATTTCCACTGCCGGGCCAGGGCCGAGCCATGCTAGTGCGTGCCAGAGCCAGTCGCGTTTCCACTGTCACTTCTGGGGATTGATCGGGGCTTACTCGGGGCCAACGGCCAGGATTTCTGGCCCGTCGAATACCTTGGGCCAAAGCGGGCCAGCTCGGGCTAGAGGCGTGGTCAAGGTAAAAGGCGGAGTTTATCGGTGTTATGGAACGTTATGATCTGAAGCAAGATGCACATTTCACTTTTTTTATATCGCGCAAAATAATCGCTACTCGAAATGGTGAATCGCCTGTACTGGTCTGTCGAAGATACCAAAGCTCTTCTGAGCATTTGGGCAGAAGAAAGGGTTCAACGTCAATTTTTTTGACGGCGTGCGAAGAAACGAAGACGTTATAAAATACATCGATGCTGAACTTTCTAAGCTAAGCATTCAGCGAGCAACGCTTCAAGTTCAGGAAAAAAAAAGTTGCGGGCGCAGTATTGTTCAAGGCGATTCAAACGCACAATGGACAAAGCGGAGCTCAGAGAAGGAACTTTCCAAATTCCATGGTTCGACTTGATGGACGGTGTGCTGGGTCACCGTCCCTCTGTTAGTGGCGACTCGCGAGACTATCTGGACACTATTGCAGGCTGCAGCCACGGCCGGTGAGTTAATATACATGCTATCTTCCTAACTTAATAAATAAATAAATTCATAATACCCGCTGAAATGGGTTGGGTTGTATGACGTTTGATCCAGAAAGGCGTGTTAGGGGCGGGGTTTAGGGCAGCGCTGCGGGGCTACTGGCCTGGCAGTGGAAACGCAAGCCCGGTGCTTGAGGCCCGAGGCCACTGGCTTGGCTCGGCTCGCTGTTAGCCCTGGCCCGGCCCTGGCCCGGCAGTGGAAACGCGGCTATTGAAAACAGTTGATAACCTCTGGAAAGAATGGAAACAATGCACTATTTGTGAGGAGAAACGTTTATTCTGCAGTGGGGTTAAATAAGGGCAGGAAGATGTGAAGTTGAAGGAAGTTGATGCTACAGACACTAACAAGCAGAATTTCATCCAGGTTAGGTAACCAATAAAGATTATTATCTTTTAATTTACACGTCATCACAATTTATGCAAAACGGAATAAAGGTTGTTGTTTTATTGCCACTAGTGTTCATTTCAGATGGAAACGGCAGTAAATCGCATATACAGGTAGGTACAGTTTTGGAATTTTGCGACAATGTATAGTGAGCCTATGTTGAAAATTGACAAAAAACAATCGACTATAAAAGGATCATTATATTGGTCAGTATGACTAGCGCACTACATTTCAAATCTTCTGGAGCCATGTGGTAGTTTTGCATTAAAAACAAACTGAAATTTAAAGGAAAAAATCATATGGCTTCAGAACACTTAAAATATAGTGCATGAGTAAGGTCACCTTTATGGTTCCCTTTTGTCATTTTGGAGTTTGACAGCACACTTCCACATTAATTTTGAAAAAGAGTGGCCTAGATATTCGTCACCTTTTGTGTTCCATGAAAGAAAAAGAGTCAGGGGTTTGCAACGACATGAGGGTGAGTACATGATAACAGAACTTTTATCTTTGTGTGAACTATCCCTTTCCCTCCAAATGGACACACTCTTTCCGTTTTCTCCCAAAATAATCTTCTCAGACCTGCTAAGAGTTTAAATGACTTTTAGCTCTGACATAATGTCAATAAGCTCTGACTTTTTGCTCTGACATAATGTCTGACATAATCTGAAGACTTTTTTTAATTTTATTTAGACATTGTACGTCCAGTCTCAAATCAGTTATCATTCCTAAATGCTTTCCAATAAAAATAAGGCTCCAAAAGTACGAGATTAATGAGCAAATTATTTTATCACTCTGCTAATTATGCATATGTGAATTGTATCTCTGCTGATTCATAGCACGCATTCCTACTCACAGTGCGATACAGGGCAGTAGCTCCAAGGCAGGCCTGACCCATGACCTTAAGAACACTTATAAACATGAGGCAACTGCAGGTTAACTAGAGAGGCCACTCTTGTTGCAGCCTGCCCATTACTCTTTGAGACACAAAATATATTTCAAAGTTATAAAGCTTTGTATACCAATATGTGTTCAGATATATAAAAAAAATTAGGTTAGAATAAAAACTTATTCAAGCATTTTATTATTATTATTATTTTTTACAAACAACGCATGATTAAAACACCATATTTATACTTATGCAGTGCACATTTGGACTTAAAAGCTGTGATTACAGTGTTATCATACATCATGTCTAAATTGGGTTGGTTATTGGTTAAGTAAATTGCAGCCGCCTGAGTGGTGTTCAGTTTTGTTTCATGTTGCAAGCCATCTTGATAAAATTACCACAAGATACATTAGCCGGATCATTCTATTCACTGATTCTCATACTGCCCCCTATTGACGAAACGCGTATTACCCCTTACCTGTTTTGTGAATAGGATTGCCGTATCCCAATACTCCTCATGCTTGTCATTGTTTTTGTTCAGCTTCTTCTGCCAGGTGCAGAAATTACGCAGGGTCATCGCCGCGTTCCCGGAAACCTTGGGTCCTTTCTCTTCCTCGTTAATCACCATAAACTTGACAACCACGATGTTGATAGAGTTGAGAATGGTGGGGTGTTTGTAAAGCTTAGCCGCCACAGACATTAAGGTCAGCACGTAATGCTTGAGGTCATCACCGTGGAATTTGGCCATAGATTCATCGGCCACCACTAATGTCTCTACATAACGCGGAATAGAGACGAATCTTTTCGAGCGGTTTTTCAGAACTGACATAGTGATGTTACTCATGTGTTCCTTCATGTGCTTAAACTTCGCCAAAGACTGCGCAACGGTGTGGGTCACATCGCTGTCCACGCCGCACCTTGACGTTGAGTTTCCACTCATATTGGCGTTAGATCTGCGTCTAATGACATGCGCATCCACATTATCCCGGCCAGTGTCGTTAAAAGCCGGCTTGACGAAATATTCCCAGCCATCGTAACCGAATGCGCCCTGCAGCCCCTTGCACAAGCTGAGCGCTGCATAGGAATATGGATCGGAATTCACCTCACCGGCATAAAAACACCGACTCAGATCTTCACTTTGCGCGGAATTATGAGCAGTTGGGTCGACGCGCGTCGAGAAACCGGGAGCAATGAAGCTGGTGTCCGACTGTAATTCGAGTACAAAATCTTGTTCAAATGCACTTATTTTAAATACAACCTTTTGCTCCAACGTGTTGTCTTCTGCACCGACTAAACTGTTCTTGACATGATTCAGTCTGACGGGCACGCAAAACTGACTCTGCATTGAATTCACATTTTCCAATTGAGCATAGAACACGTTAACAAGAAGAACTGACCTTAGCAACAAAAACATGTTTGTGCGCGAGAAAATTGATTGATAAAGCGCAAATTGAGATAGAGTGAGATGTGGATGCAACAATATTCCAGGATGCGGTTGCACTAAAATGTTGCTTTTGCGCGTCCATAAAGTGTGAAATCCGCCGGTCTGTGATCCATCCCTTTCTTGTACCTGTAAACTGAAGCCGCTCCACTTATCTGTCGTCTTTATGTGCGCGCGTCATGTGCAAACATCTAGCGCTTGTCATCAGAAGTTTTTGGGGAGGTGCTCGAGTGCACTCACTGTGAATGTCTCTCGATTTAAGGTGAAGCCTGCAACTACTTGTGGATGTGTGAGCTTTCGCATCATCAGCCTGCAGCACTCCAAGAGCCGGGTTTCCCCTCCCACTTCATTTACAGCATCCAAACAGTCTCGTATGATATGAAGTTCGCAAGGGGAGGACAGCACATGGACTACAGATATATATAGTACTGCAAAGTTCTAAATATATTATATTATGATCATAATTTATTTTTTTAGTCTTAGCTTGTATCTGTTATGGCTACATTTATTTTTATTTCTCTTCCCTTTTCTAAAACCTTGAGTGATATAATCATAATTTAAGGAGAGGTCATGTAGGTAATGGTACCTAAAATATATATTATTTTTCCATAATTTTTATATTATTTTTCCATAAATGTTTGCGTGTGCTTGACCGTTTCCAAACATTTTTGGTATAATACACTGTCAGAAAAAAAATCGGAAAATTAGGGGTACAACAGCTTGTCAGTGGGGCAGTAGGCCTACCCTTAAAGGTACTCCTATCCTTAGGATGCATATTATTGGTAGGCTATACCTTACAGCTGCATTGTACAGTAATATGCACCTTTTGGATAGCTAAGGTACCTTTGGGGTGCTGTTCAGTGACATGCTAAAAATACAATTCCTTGTGTCAGTTCCTGAATTCGAAACCGCATACTTGTATACTAGCCTACTGTACTACTTTTACCATATGTTTCTATGGCAGAAATAGTAAGAGTAGTATGCTAATATACAGTTCTGAATTCAGCATCTGTCATGACTGCTGAATCTAAAAATGGTCAATTTGAAGTACTTGTTCAGTGGACCCATTCACTTATCCACAGGTGTAAGAGCGACATCTTGTGGTGAAACAATTTCAGCACAGTTTAGTAAAAATTAAAAAGCTTTAAACTACTACCAATAATTTCAGAATAACATCTTTCTATTCCAAGCAACCACAACAACAACAACAAAAACAAAAACATTTTAGTACTGGACAATGTTTTGTACCGTAGGATGCCATAGGATCTCTTCTCTTGTTAAATTGTTACCTCCAGTTTCCAACTTTATGCTCCAAATGATACAATGTTGCCCCTTAGCGGTCGTTTTGAAATCAACCTGACAGTAGCCACTGTACGCTGCGCTATCAAAATGAAGACCTCGCTGAAAAACTCACTGTCTGTGTGTTGTGAATAACCTATTAGATGTCCCTCCTCTGATCATTTAAAAAAAAAAGATTTGTCTTTATGTTTTGTTTTTTAGAGGTTTTATGAGTTTAAAGTATGCAGGATTTAACTAGCCTAAATCAATATCACAGATAGAGAGAGAAGCTCGGGGTTGTGCGTTAATTATTTGAAATAACGTAATATATTTCAAACTGATATCCACTCCAAAGCGGATTTGGGAACATTTCAAAATCATTCATTTTGATTAGTTCACCAACCCATGATATTCAGATGTCACCTTGCTCGTGGGTGTAGGCCCTACACCGCTTTTCTTCCAAGATTTTCACTGGTTTAACACGCTCTCTAGCATCTACATGGTTGACACTCAACACATACTTTGAGTGTCCTGCAGCAATCCAGCCGGCTGTTATAATAATAGCTGAAAGTAAGACCCGTTGTAGTGAAAAGGGGGCGTGGCGGTAGCCCCATTGGATCAAACTGGGTTTTTTTTTTTTTTTTTTTTTTTTTTTTTTTTTTTTTTTTTTGGCGCATGAGGGGGAGGAGAGAGAATGAATATCAAAAATAAACCGCGTACGCGGGAGAAGCACAAGACAGTATAAATACCAGCAACGCGAACATTCTTCGCTTACAGTTAGCCGGATGAGTATTATCTTACAAGACTGTTTTTATGAACTCTCGAGACTTAGCCTAATATTAATTCTTATTAAGTCAGTATTTATATTAGGTTTTTAATAGGATTTTCATTATCTTCATCTGCATAATTGTTTTAAAATAGAACTATCTGTGCGTCCAGTGCCGCTTGCCTATTTTACAACATAGGCTACAGTTTTGAATATTTCCGAATTCACTATTAAAATGGTATCCACAATAGTTTGTTATATATTTTTCTTAGTAAATCTTATGTCTAAGTTTGCTCTGTGTGAGCTAAACGAGGAAGAGGAAACTGTGCCAATAAACCTTGCATTCAGAAAAGGTGTTTTTTGTAGGAATGAGGAGAGAGCGCGTTTTAAGATCAGTGCCTTTGGCCAACTTTTTGTGCTTGACCTGACGCCGGACAGCAAGTTCGTGTCTCCAGCATTAAGCGTCCAGCGCATTAAAGCGAAGAATCTCCCCGCGGTTCTGGACGCGTCCAGGAGCAGAGGTTCTCTCAGGGGTGTCACCCAGCACGGAGACAGCGGTGCGGACCTCAGAGATTGTTTCTACACCGGAACGGTCAACTCTGAAAAGGAATCTGTAGTTGCTGTCAGTTTATGTCACGGCATCCAGGGTACTTTCATAACGCAAGGGGACGAGTACTTTATTCAGCCTAAAGCAAGTGTCAAGACCACCGGGGAATCTTTTACGCAGGTGCACGTAGTCAAAAGGCGAGTCTTTTCCAACCACCGAGGAGCGTCAAATATGGTCTTTGACCAAATAAAAGTGGACCGTTTTGTGAAAGAGAGCAACCTGAACTCCAGTGAAGACGAAGACGGCAAAATGAGACGGGCAAAAAGATTTGTGTCTGCTGCGAGATACATCGAGACTCTGGTAGTGGCCGACGCTTCAATGACACGTTTCTATGGAGATGAGATAAAGGTTAGTAAACTCGCAAATTGCTCATTTTTAACATTTTTAATTGACACATTTAGCAGTGGTTAATAGGCTATTAGATCTGCCCCTCGGGTGCATAAATAACGTTTCAGTCATCTAATTCATTCTGAAACACAATGTAGCTAGCTACAGTTCAGCTTTTACTGAAGAAATGTAGCATAGCCTACTCTCTCTCTCTCTCTCTCTCTCTCTTTTTTTTTTTTTTTTTTTTTTTTTGCAAGCTAATATCTTTAAATAATATACCCCAATTATTGTCCTAAGCTATGCGGACAACTGTGACTGCAATATTTATAGTAGGCCTATTTATGGAATATTTGTAGAAATACTTTTAACTGTAACTTATTTGCACCTGCCTTTAATAAGTTTTCCAGGTGACATTTAATATCATTACGAAAATTAACCATGGTATTATTACAGTAAACGTGTGTACTGTAGGCTAACCGTGTTTTTTTTTTTTTTTTTTTTTGCCGGATTGATTACCATTTGTATAGGATAGCCTACCACAGTTTTACTACAAATACCATGGTCAAACGAGCCTATGGTTAGTGTAACAAAACTTAATTTTTGGTTACCATGGTTGAACTACAATAAGGTTTTTTTTTTTTTTTTTTTTTTTTGTAGTAGTAGGCCTAAAACCATTGTTATTTTTCGTAAGGGTAGGCCTACATCTCTGAGCATGTGCAGGTTGCGCGAAAGTGTACACTTCTGATGACATTTTCGGCCAATATACTGCAGTGTTGTAGGGAGCAAGGATCCTGGAGTGAAGAACAGGCTTTTTGAAAGTCGAGGCATGGTTTCTCTCGTGAAAGGTAGCGGATTAGCATGATTTTGCCTGTACCAATGGATGTATTTTGGAAATTGAAAGCGTTAGTGTCTTCTTTCTCTCCGTGGTCGCTCGCAGTGGGGTTTCTCTCATTGAAATATAAAGTAGAGTGGCGTTTCAGAACCCTCTGAGCGAAATATGTCACTCCACTCTTCTCTACCTGCATAGTGCGGGTTTCAGTCTGCATGATGCATAGAGGTGGAGCTAGACTAGGTCAAGCTTAGCCCATGACGTCCAGAGAGGTGGTGCTGGACGTCATTTGGCTCCGCAGTGAGCCAATTTCAGCCAAACCTTCTGATTTGGGCTACCCCTTTATTTTCTCCCCCAAAATGTAGTGTCAAGTTTTGAAGCAAAAACTTAACATATGTATGTACTAAGTCTACTGTGATGTTCGTCTGCATTAATATGTCTAACATGGAAACTTATACCTGTTTTTAAAACTTTTATCAAGTCATAGTCTCCTAAAGTATGAAACTGAAAACAGTCGGTCAGACAATCATCTAGTTTTAATGCCAAGAGATATTTTTGGTACTATATCCAGGGGTGTATTTTTTTAAGTATCTTTGAGATTTGTTTACGCAGTGTATCCACAGACCATTTTTGTTTCATTACTAAATTTATATTCTCTTTCTTTATTTCTACAGCACTACCTCCTGGCGGTGATGTCCATGGCAGCTCAGATCTATGCACATCCAAGTCTGAAAAATGCTGTTAGTCTGGTGGTAGTAAAGATGGTGGTTGTTGAGGATGAGGAGGTGGGACCTGAGCTTTCAAGCAATGGCGGTGTTGCCCTGCGCAACTTCTGCATGTGGCAACAACATTTCAACCCAGGCAGCCAGAGGCATCCTGAACACTATGACACTGCCATCTTGTTCACTAGAGAGGTAAGAAACACAAAGCATTTTTTCCAGAACAAAATTATCCAAATTTGAATCGAACGCCAACAGTAATTGAGATCTTATCATCTTGTGCACCAATGTCAGTAACCTACAATGGTTGCAATAATAAAAAATAAAAAAATGAAACAACTGGAGGTGTAACAGCAGATTTACTTTTAAAATCAGAAATATGTAGGTTAAGTAATTTTTTCATCAGGAAAGATGGCAACTTTCTCCCCAACATTTTCAGTCCACACACATTTTACAGCTTTTGATTAACTTGGCTATAGCACTTTTCCAAAACAAGACATCATTTCATTGAGGCAATGACAGGGTCATGATCACAATGCTCAACAGGGAGCCCCTTGTTCAATCTTGAAGACAGCACACATGAGATTGTAGCACTGCCAAATCCAGAGGGTTAGCACAGCATAACATAGATGTAGGAGAAACAAAAATTTGGCTGGACATCCAGCTGAGAGCAATACAACAGAACTCATGGAGGTCTCAGTCCTTCTGTGGCTAGATGGAGAAACAGGTGGTTTTTATTTAGTGGAGGAGGTCTGTGTGTCTCTGGTCGTCTCACATGGCTTCACTGAGACGTCTTCCACAGTCAAGGTTATCCCTGTCTGACAGGGAAGTGCTGGACAGACCTTTTGGTCTGCCTGTGCTGTGTGGTCCAGCTATCTCACAGTTAATCCCCCCCCCCCCCCCCCCCCTTCCTTTTTTTTTTCTAGTACGCAGTCTGCCATGTATTTGCTTCATTTTACGATGGAAACACTGACAAATATGTTTTGCTGGCAAGAGCCTGCTTGGGGAAAAAAAAGCCTGTCTGGAACTAATCGAGTGATGGCTGGATATCAGTGTCTCAGATGTGTCCCCCTCTCCTCTCGCTTTTTTTTTTTTTTTTGTCTCACATCTCTCTTTCTCATTTGCCAACTTGTCTCTCTCTCTCTTTTTGACCTCAGGATATTTGTGGATATAAGGATTGTGACACTCTGGGTGTAGCTGATGTTGGCACTATGTGTGACCCCAAAAGAAGCTGCTCAGTTATAGAGGACAATGGCCTTCAGGCAGCATTTACTGTGTCACATGAACTCGGTATGTTCACACACACATAAACAGACTCCATGTCTATAGTTGGACATCTCACCCTAACTGACTGTCTGGACAAGAGCATGTGTTCCAGACTTAGTCATTAATTAATGTAAACCAGCTGTTTTCAGCAGCTAAAGTACACTGAGAGGTTTGCGTGAATATTAGGGCTATAGAACGATTTCAAATTTTAATAGAATTTAAAGTGATTAAAGTTAGAATTTGGTTCTAAAATGCTGAATCACATGTCAATATTTTTGGAGACAAAATTAAGATCATTCAAAGACATTGTATTATTGTAGTAGACTAGTCAATTATTGAATATACTTACATATTGTAGTGGCTTTTCTATATCGAGTTGTCAGTCTGTCCAAGGACAAGTTCTTGTATTCCATCTGTGCTATTTTCTTGAATCATATTTTCAGGAGTGAGCTTAAATAACCCATACAGAATATGCACACACAAATAGGTATTCAAAATACAGGTACATTTATGGACTTCAATTATTAAGCACCAAGTTGCAGTAGTTGCTGCAGTATTGTTGTCTCTTTAAATGTTTGGTTGTAAGTTACACCCTCTGGAAAGTCAAAAACTACACAGTGAGCAGCAGTGATAAACATCAATGAAAAATATATAGAACACAGTCATATTGAGGAGCACAGCAATGTGTGAAAGTTGTTACACTGTACATGTACATCTTTGAGTTTTCTTCTCCTTTTTTCAGGCCATGTACTCAGCATGCCACATGATGATTCAAGAAATTGTGATAAATGGTTTGGCCATCTCAATGGACATCATATGATGGCTCCTTTCTTCATTCACCTCAACAAAACTCTTCCCTGGTCTCCATGTAGTGCTCTATACATCACAGAGTTCTTCGACAATGGCCACGGTATGATCCTTCTCTGTTTGTCAGGATACTGTTTTAATCATTTCCCTTCTTTAAAGGGGTCATATAATGGTACATGCACTTTTTCAAGTTGATTGTACTGAAATGTGTGTTGGCAGTGCCTGTACACAACCATCATATAATGATAAAAATCCATCCAGTGTTTTTGTTTTAATCTCCTTATATGTTTTCCCCTGCCTCAAATCGAGCCGTTCGACCGTGTGACGTCACACGGTCGGACGTCCCTCCCACGATTGTTGATTGACAGCAGCGTTTCAACACAGACCCGCCCTGAGCGAGCTGTCATCATAGTCCGTCATTGTTGATACACTGGAGCAGAATGACATCTAAGCGATTGTGGTGTTCTGTTCTTGGGTGTAATAACGAACACAGTCATTTTGATGTTCCTAAATCCGAACCACTGAAGACACAGTGGCTGAGTTTTGTTTTCGAAGGGAATATTCCCACAAGCAACGTCAATACTTTCATGTTTGCGCGATTCGCGAATCTTTTCTCACCAGACATGCTTTATAAACGAGGATCAGTATAAAGCTGGTTTTGCTAAGAAGCTGCTCCTGAAAAAAGAATCGGTACCAACTATTCATGTCCATGCTGCACCTCCAGAGAAGTGATTGTATATTTTATATTAATCTTTGCAAATCGCTTGCACGCTTCACGATGAATGCGGCTAAGGTTTACACTCAGGGTACATTACGGCATGTTTTCTATACGACGTTCTCAATATAATTCATAATCCCACGTTTATAATGAACAACGCGTTATGGTTATTGTGTTATTACAAACTGAGTAGGTATACATCAGTAAACACATAGCGTTCGTACATCTCACTAAGTTACTCTACCCTGCCAGTACACAAAGACATTGTGTTAACCAACCATTCAGAAACGTCCTGTTCGAGCCTTAATTGTCGAACTTCTTTGCGGCCGTCATCTTGTTCCGGGTCCGACTCCGGTTCAAACTGATACGGTTGCACAGATGTGTCCTCAGAGACTCAAGGCAACACTCCACGTGCGTTGTGTCTAAACCATAGACTGTAAAAAATATGGACAAAGCGTCTGTGACGTCACCCATAGACTTTCTGAAGAACGGTTTGAGGCCGTTTATGGGGGGTATGGGCGGCGCCATCTTGGAAAATCTTGGGAAATCCTAACCCCGCCCACCTTCTGGCCAATCCATATATGGGTAAAAGGGCGGGCTTTGTGTGAGACTGAGCCGGCCGGTGGACGCGCCTCTTCAGCCAAGCAGCCTCAGGTATCTGTAACGTTACAAGATCGACTGGCAGACTAGGCTACTTTTTTCAGTCAGTATCATTCTTATGTTGAAACTCCTTTTCCTCGATATACTGAAGCCTATAACGCATTTGCAGCTGCATAGCTCGCTCATAAGCTGTGCTGCGGCAACTGCACATCCAATGGCGTGGGCGCCTCTGACGTGCGACCAACTAGCTCGCAGATCAGTCTTTTCTTATGTTACATTTATTCATTTGGCAGACGCATTTACAGTGTTTCAAACGTCAGTTATAACCATAGGTAAAGTACCTCGGACGCTAACTTATCTGAGGCGATTTAATGCTAACTGTTGCAGTGCCACTGCCCACAAACATTGATGCTAAATAGTGCTAACTACGTGAAATAGTAGTGGAATGTCACTTACCGTAAAAAAAGGAGCGAAGTACTCCTAGTCCTACAGTGTCGGTTAGTGCAGTTTATAGCAGAGCAACCCATGTTATGTACGATATTTCAATACAAATGTTCAGAAAGGATACAGAGGTGGTATGATGTGTTGTGTCAGATCATGGCCGAGACGTCAAATTTCAGGAATACCACTCGACGCAGCCCGTTTTCAGCTGTCAATCAAGCTGTCAATCAAAGTTAACCACACCCTTATTTGTCATACATTTTATATCTAAACTAACGAGTTAGAAAAAAATTCACCCCCCTCACAGTTGTCAGGCACTCGGAACCTTTCGGAAAAATACAGTAAAAGTCCATGGGACCAACCTGTAAAAACATGAATTTATGCTGTGAAAACAGACATTTTAACATGGGGTCTATGGATATTTGCTCCCTTTTGGTACCTCCCTCTAGCGGATTTTCGACGTATTGCAGTTTTTCGCACTTCCGGGTAGGCTTCATTTTTCAGATTAGCATGTTGCCGCTTGGTCTAAACGCGCAGAACAGAGGGGCGGAGTGAGCGAAGCTCATTATCATTTAAAGGCATATGCACTGAAACGGCGTGCTGAAAACAGAGCTGTTTTTGACTAGGTAAAATTAGTGTTTTCTTACAATACTAATGAGAATTTTTAAGTAAAGTATATTACAAACTTTTCATTTAGACCCTAAAGAATCAAATTAACTTGTATGAAAATAGCATTATATGACCCCTTTAAAAGTTTTATGTTAGTGAAAAAGTACTCCCAGAAAAGCAGTACCATTTGTTTTGCTCTTGTCTTTCTGAGTGTATCTTTTATTAACCGCTGGTTTTCTCTCGGTTAACATTAGGTTTTCAGTTTTTGTTTGGTTTTGGCCTTAGAACATCATGGTGCATATATCCCAGAGACCCAGAGGGAAAAAAAGACAATAACATTCAGTGAAGTTTTTGAGACATTTGGCTTAAATTGTAAATCCGTCATTCTAAAGTTAATGGAAACATGTCACAGAGAATCTACTATATAATTTTGATCTTAATGTGCGGTGAAAAATCTCTATAATGTAGATGCCTGTGTTTTATCAATTTACTTTCTTCCAGTGTTTTGCACGTTTCTTGTTTAAATGCCTCTTCTGTCTGAACTTACTCCCTAACCACTAATAATGGGCTGGTTCGACCACACTGAGTAATTTTGCTGAGAGTGTCAAAACTAACAGTCTTTGCAGAGCAAGCTCACTCTCACTCACTTCATCTACCATGCTTTGTATGAATATATACACTACTGTACAAAAGTTTTGGATCTGTAAGACCCCTGATTTTTAATGTTTCTTATGCTCACCAAGGCTGTATTTGTTTTATCAAAAATACAGTAAAACAGTAATATAGTGAAATAGTATTACAATTTTAAATCACTGTTTTCTATTTTAACATATTTTAAAATGTATTTTATTCTTGTGATGGCAAAGTTGAATTTTCAACAGCCATTGATCCAAGATGAAATCATTCTAATATGCTGATTTAAAGGTGGGGTATAGGTCATTTTTTATAAACAGTTTTTGTTATATATATCAATAATAGAAGTGGTCTAAATAAAAAAACGTACATATCTTCTGTGGAAGTCTCAGGACCAAAAAATATTTCCGCGCAGACATCACACTTAATCAGTGGGTTCCGCAAGGCTATGCAGAGTTGGGGACAGTCACTGAGTACCACAAACAAACAGCAGCCACCGTTTACAGTTCCTCCTGAACCAAAACAACGAGTTTATGCTGCGTTCACACCATGTCGTAACCGTGACGTTCTACTGCAGCTGTTCACATCCTCAGACTCGGATTTTTGCGTTTCTATGTCAACACTATCAACAAGTACAAGTAAGAGCTCTGTAAGTTGTTTACGTTCATTATTATTGTAATGTTATGTGCTTTGAGACATGAGGTAATTTAACACCGTCTCGTGCCGCTTTGCAGGCGCTGTGTGTTCATGTGTTTTGACGGAGATGTTGCTTTGGAAAGCTCTCTAAATGGGGAGGGTGGGATCTTGCTTGCCTCTCTGAATTTGCCTACAATACCTTTAATACTCAAGAAACATTCCTCATTATCAACGTTGAAAGCAGCTGTGAGACATAATATTTTGGTGTAAACAATGATATTTTCAGGATTCTTTGATGAATAGAAAGTTCAAAAGAACAGTAGAAAACTTTTGCAACATTATAAATGTATTTACTGTCACTTTTGATCAATTTAATATGCCCTTGCTGAATAAAAGTATCACTTTCAAAAATAATCTGACCCCAAACTTTTGAATGTTAGTTTCTTATCTATGAAGCTGTGAAGTTGTGATGTAACCTCATGAAGTGTAAGATCTTTCAAAAGGGACTTTAGATTTCTGAGACGCCGAGGGGGATCTGTCCAGACTGCCTATAGGGATACCTGGAGTTAACTGTTGTTCAAATTAAATAGAACAATTCACAATAAAGATGAGCTCAGATAAGAAAAGTGACAGCTAAATACGTAGACATATTTTCTCCAGTTTTTGATTTATCTTCGTCGATATCTCAGTCTACACGCTCTCGTTCCCGGTCTTCCATTGACTCATCTTCAGTGACTCACACATTCCAGGTTTAACAACTGTTTTCCCTCACAGAAACATTATGCGTAGCCAAGCACATGCTGTCTTTACTGGTCGTACTGTTGCCACAGGTTGACTATGAACTGATACGACTTCAAGGCTGTTATTTTCTATTGTTGTTAATTTTATGCCTGTATCCGTTTCAACAAAAGCCTTTCATTACTAAGCATTCATAACATTCATTTAGGTGTGCAAAGCTGTATTGAAACTTGTCCAAATTCTTAATGTGTCCTCAATACTTTAAGCCTAATTAGATTTCACAGTATCAGTCTTGGAAAAACACAAAGGGAGTCAAGAAGTCTGCATTATTGTTTCATGGTGTTATACTGTCTCCATATCTTTATCCATATGGATAAAACTATGTTTAGGAAGGACTCAGGGTAGACATTCCTTACAGTACAATTTTACTTTCTTTTGTTACTGATTCGATTTTTTGTTCTAGAGTGAGCTAACTCCACAATAATAGGTTACATAATGGAAATCTCCAGATGGGAGACTATTATGTCTTACGCACATTGGGATTAGAGGAGGTACAATGAGATCTCTCTGCTATGAAAATAGTTCCCTCAAGCTAAGGTGCACACCTGTTTTGGACTAGCTGAATGTAAGAGATTGTTTTATTTGAAGTAAACACTCGTTTGTATAGCAGTTGAATATCTCTACAAACATAAAGCTGAATAAGCCACAAGCAACGACTTCCGATGTAAACAGGGAACTTGAGAACATTCTGACGAAACATAAGACTGCAAATCGACTCATCATTCATGTGGGGAAAAATGATATTCATAAAGAGCAGTCAGAACTCCTTAAGAAGGATTTCAATGAACTTTTTGAAACACTTAAAAGACTGAAAGTACAACCATTCATCAGTGGACCACTACCAGCAAGAGGAACAAACAGGTTTTCACGGCTGCTTGGGCTCAACACATGGCTGCAAAAAACCTGCAATATAAAAGGAGTAAACTTCATTGACAACTTCAATCTTTTCTGGAGTCAGAGGCAACTGTTTCAACAGGATGGGCTCCACCCAAACAAACTTGGTTCAAGAGTGCTAAAGGACAACATCTACTTCTCTCTCAATCATCCTTCTGCAGTGTGTGCCAATCCACTCAACCTGAATGGCACACACACACCTGGACACAGTATGAATGACCACAGGACTTCATTTCAGCACGTGGATGGACATGCGGTTGACATATCACACAAGGACAATGATAACACCACTCAGCCAAAACAGCCTCTGCTCACGGACACAATCTCAGCTGAGCCCTGCCCACAGAGCTCACCACAGACAGACTGTGACATACTGGAACTGCTCCAAGTTTCAGCTCCCAAGGACGACTTGTTAGAAAACCAGGACAGCATTTTACAGCCTCCAATAACACCAGAGAAACAGCCCCCTCCAGCCTCTACCCTCTCACCAGACACGTTATCCCTATCTCCAGCATCTCCACAGCATCTTCTGTGCTTCTCAGAGAAAATGGAAAAACTGGTGTTTGCTGGAACCAAACTATCTGCAAGCCCCCAGACATCAACCAAAAAACGGCAGGCCCCAAAACCACGAAAGCCTGCGGGCCCAGCTCGCTCTCCGCTTGTGAGAGCTCTTCGGCCTCTGCAAAAACGCCAGGGCTCACACCCTCCTCTATCGGCTCGAGGTGAACCAAAAACAACTGATACCAGCTCTCAGTGATATGTGCCGGGTGCCCGCTATGAAAACAGTAACTTTCTCAAATGTTTACATAACAAGCGGGAACCCAGTGTGCCTGTATCTTTCTCTATTGCTGTTCGATTACATGATAGAAAGTCTAAGGCCTTCAAAAGCCGTACAGCAAACCCATCTAATCTGGTGCCTATTACACGCCAAACTAAGACAAAAGTAACAAAAAGTAAGACTGTTAAGTTAGCACTATTAAACATCCGCTCACTTAAAAATAAATCACTTCTAGTCAATGACTTAATAACCACATACAACCTGGATTTTATGCTTCTAAATGAAACTTGGCTAGAAGACAGCTGCAGTTCAACAGTCCTCAATGAAACAGCCCCTCCTAACTTTACTTTTATGAGTGTCTGCAGAGCGGGTAAGAGAGGCGGGGGCTTAGCTGCTCTTTTTAAAGATGTCTATCAATGTAAGCAAACATCATTTGGTAACTACCCCTCTTTTGAATATCTGGGTATTGTATTAAAAGGGGCCCCACGCATTTTACTTATCATTATTTACAGGCCTCCAAAATACTCTCCAGCCTTTGCTGAGGACTTTACAGAACTGTTATCAACAATTTCCTCAGAGTTTGACTGTTTTGCCATTGCTGGAGATTTTAACATTCACATAGATAATGCAGAAAACAATATGGCAAAAGAAATCAAAACTGTTTTAAAAACTTTTGATCTGATTCAGCATGTACATGGACCCACACACAATCGTGGACACACTCTAGATTTACTTATCAGTAAGGGTTTAAACATCTCATCGATTGTTATTAAGGATGTAGCACTGTCTGATCATTTCTGTATTTTCTTTGATATATTGATCTCTCCTGCCATTGAAACTAGATCTGTGTCTGTCAAGAAGAGATGCTTAAATGAGAACACTAGTGTGCTATTTATGAAGGCCATATCTTTAAAACCAAGCATATCTGCTGACTCTGTTGATTTTCTCCTTGATTCTTTTAACTCAAAGGTTAAAGATGTAATAGATTATATTGCTCCTGTGAAAGTCAGGAAGAGTGGTAGACAAAAAGCACCTTGGAGAAACTCAACAGCTGTGCAAAATATGAAAAGAACATGCAGAAAAACAGAGCGCATGTGGCGGAAGACAAAACTTGTAGTCCATTATAACATCTATAAAGACAGCATCCATGCTTTTAATATTGAACTAGGCAAAGCTAGACAGACTTTCTTCTCAAATATTATAAACAGCAACTTAAACAACACACGCACTCTTTTTGCTACTGTAGAGAGACTGACAAACCCCCCAAGCCAGATTCCCAGTGAAATGCTCTCAGACAGCAAGTGCAGTGAGTTTGCTTCTTTCTTCTCTGAGAAAATCAATAATATCAGAAAGGTGATCAGCTCATCCTTGAGTTGCACTGGGGTCAGACAGATCAGACCACAACCTGAGAAAGTAGTTACTATGTCTGTTTTCGAAGAAATTGATGGCAAAATTTTGGAAGAAACCGTACAACACCTTAAAACATCAACCTGCGCCTTTGACGCACTTCCCACATCTTTCTTCAAAAGTGTGTTAAACAGTTTAGAAGCAGATCTCCTAAAAGTGGTTAATGCCTCACTTCTTTCTGGTAGTTTTCCAAACTCCCTGAAAACTGCAGTTGTCAAGCCCCTCCTGAAAAAGAGCAATCTGGATAAGACTATATTAAGCAACTATAGACCGATCTCAAATCTTCCTTTTATAGGCAAGATCATTGAAAAAGTTGTCTTCAATCAGCTGAACAAATTCTTAATCTCGAATGGATACTTTGACAATTTTCAATCTGGTTTCCGATCGCATCACAGCACAGAGACAGCTCTCATAAAGATAATAAACGATATTCGCTTAAATACTGATACAGGGAAATTATCAGTGCTGGTACTACTCGACCTCAGTGCTGCATTTGACACTGTCGATCACGACATACTTCTTGACAGGCTGGAAAACAGGGTGGGGCTTTCTGGGATAGTCCTAAAATGGTTCAGGTCATACTTAGAAGGGAGAGGTTATTATGTGAGTATAGGAGACCATAAGTCTGAGTGGACATCCATGTCATGCGGAGTCCCTCAAGGCTCAATTCTTGCACCACTCCTGTTCAACCTGTATATGCTCCCAATGAGCCAAATAATGAGAAAGAACCGAATCTCTTACCACAGCTATGCAGACGACACACAGCTCTACTTAGCCCTATCGCCTAACGACTACAGCCCCATTGACTCCCTGTGCCAATGCATTGATGAAGTCAACGGTTGGATGTGCCAAAACTTTCTTCAGTTAAACAAAGACAAAACTGAAGTCATTGCGTTTGGAAACAAAGATGAAGTTCTCAAGGTGAATGCATACCTTGACGCTAGGGGTCTAACAACTAAAAATCAAGTCAGGAATCTTGGTGTGTCTCTAGAGTCAGACCTTAGTTTCAGTAGTCATGTCAAAGCAATAACTAAATCAGCATACTATCATCTGAAAAATATTGCAAGAATTAGATGCTTTGTTTCCAATCAAGACTTAGAGAAACTTGTGCATGCTTTTATCACCAGCAGGGTGGATTATTGTAATGGACTCCTCACTGGCCTTCCTAAAAAGACCATAAGACAGTTGCAGCTCATACAGAACGCTGCTGCCAGGATTCTGAGCAGAACCAGAAAATTTGAACACATCACACCAGTCCTCAGGTCTCTACACTGGCTCCCAGTTACATTTAGGATTGATTTTAAAGTATTATTACTGGTATATAAATCATTCAATGGCCTAGGACCTCAATATATTGCAGATATGCTCACTGAATATAAACCAAACAGATCACTCAGATCATTAGGATCACATCAGCTAGAAATACCAAGGGTTCGCTCTAAGCATGGAGAGTCTGCTTTTAGCTATTATGCCAGCCGCAGCTGGAACCAGCTTCCAGAGGAGATCAGATGTGCTCCTACAGTAGTTACATTCAAATCCAGACTCAAAACACATCTGTTTAGTTATGCATTTACTGAATGAGCACTGTGCCACTGTTCGTCCGACTGTTTTTACTGTACTTTATTTTTTATTCTAAACTGTTTTAATTATTCTTATTTGTTTTGATTATTGTAATTTCTTCTATGTAAAGCACTTTGAATTACCATTGTGTATGAAATGTGCTATATAAATAAACTTGCCTTGCCTTGCCTTGCCTAAGACCCTGCATATGTATTCCTCAGGTGACTGTTTGCTGGATCCACCTGAGATGACCATCCCTTTACCCGCTGAGCTCCCCGGCCATACGTTTGGTCTACAACGTCAGTGCCAGCAGACGTTCGGGGACAGATACATCCAGTGTCCTAATGCTCCTAAAGAGCAGGCATGTGCACAGCTGTGGTGTCAAGAGGAAGGAAAGAGACAGTGCACTACCCGGAATGGAAGCCTCCCCTGGGCCGACGGTACTCCCTGTGGGGAGGACAGGCGATGTCGTGAGGGTTTATGTGTGTCGAGTGCACTGGAGGAGGCGGGAGAGGGGAAGGTATGCATGGCCAGGATGTGTATGTGCGTCATCCAGTTTTATCACACTTCACCTGTCAGCACGCATGCACAGGGGACGACTGGAAACACCTCTGTACAGATTTATGGGCACCACTTTTAAAAAGTATCTGACATTTTAGGTGACGCCTTCCTTATGGGCCCTTGTGCATCACCCTACACTCCCTTTTAAAAATTGTACACATTAGCACATACTGTCCCAATTTTCTCTTTTGATTATTCAAAACTTTTACGAATTTTCCTTCCTTTGACATCAAAGATGGCACATTCTTTTTACCTACTGTTTACATGTTTGAAAAAGTCTTAGAGTCAGACTCAGAAATAAAACGTATTCCTCCTCTTGGATCCCAACCAGGCCCTGTCTCTGAGCAGCTTAAAATAATCAATCTACTTTAAATCCAGCTTCTAAATGCCAGAAAGAGAGTTTATATAGAGGGAGCCTTTAAAAAACTCAATTATTTTTGAGCCTTCCATTTTCAGATGCATGTTGAATTAGTAAAGTAATATATATGTATTCAGCAAAGCCTCTTAAAAAGTGTGATTATATTTGGTGTAGTGTAAAAAATAAAATAATAAAAATTTGTGATCCCAGACGGCCTGGGTGTGAGAAGGCATCCTTCAGCCAACTCATAAAAAACCCTGACAGAAATGCAGTGTGGTATGCTCACATTCTGTCAGCACTACGCTTACTGGAAGTGATGTTTAGGACTTTGCAAGGCTACATCAGGGGTCAAGATGAGCACTGTGATTGACTCAGATAATACACTGAGATATAGAGATATTTGAAGTTTATAAATGTTTACATAGAACAAATATAGTGATTTTACATACAGTGTTTAATAAAATGAAATAAAAAAACTAATATAATTATTTAATAATAATTGCTTTCTACTATTTATTTATATAATTTTGTTTCATTGTTTTAAGAAATTAATACTTTTATTTAGCAAGGACACGAAATTAATACTTTTATTCAGCAAGGACACATTAAATTGATCAAAAATGACAGTAAAGGCATTTATAATGTTACTGTTAGATTTCTGTTTCAAATAAATGCTGTTCTTTTGAACATACTATTCATCAAATAATCCTGAAAAAAATGCATCACGGTTTCCACAAAAATATTGAGCGGCACAGCTGTTGTCAACATTGATAATAATAAGGAATGTTTCTTGAGCATAAAATCAGCATATAATATGCATATAATGATTTCTGTAGGATCATGTGACACTGAAATTGGAGTAAAGGCTGCTTAAAATTGAGCTTTGCCATCAAAGGAATAAATTGTATTTTAAAATGTATTAGTAAAATACAAAAATACAGTAAAAACAGTGAATTTGTTTTCGTTTATGTGTTCTTTTGGATTATTTTCTACTAGGTGCATCATATTACAGTGAAATGTATAAGCCTCTATTTGTCTTCCAGGTGCCAGTCAATGGTGGTTGGGGAGAGTGGGGCCCTTGGGGGCCGTGCTCACGGACATGTGGTGGGGGTGTGGATTTTTCTCACCGTGAGTGCACTGCTCCAGTGCCACAGAATGGGGGATCGTACTGTGTGGGACAGAGGGTCAAATACCAGTCCTGCAATACTCAGACTTGCCCAGAAGACCATGGTAACATTTTATAAATAAACCTCTTTGGGTAGCATATGTCACATGAATGAAGTGAAGAGGTCAAAAACCCATGCATTTGTAATGATCGCATTATTCTTAGTGGACTTTTATTTTTTATTCACAGGCAAAAGCTTCAGAGAGGAGCAGTGTGAGAAGCATAACAGTGATCGTTACTTGGACATTCAAGGGAACATAAAGCAGTGGATCCCCAAATATTCTGGTGTCTCTCCACGTGACCGCTGCAAACTCATCTGCCGAGCCAAATGGGGCAATGAATTCAAAGTTTTTGAAGCCAAGGTGCAGATCCGTTGAAAACGCTTTCTTTTTAATCTAATCTGATCAGCAATAATGACAATATGTGAAAGAAATTTTAGTCTCTTCTGTGTAACTGCCTGCTCTAAAGCTTTACTAAGATGTCAGATGATCTCTTTCTTAGACTTCCCTCTTGCCACAGGCCCTTTGATATCTTTACACTCCCACTAAACTCTCATGCATGAAATATTTTCCTTGTTGTAAAATGTGAAACCTGAGCACCCGAATCCTACAGTCCAGCTACTTCCTTAAGCTCTTGAGTGCACCTCTGTAACTGATATTTCAGATACAGCTAAAATGTAGTTGGTTTTGCGTCATCAGCCCAGAGTTTTGGCCATTCCGCTTTACATGGAATAGCCATTATGAGAACAGAAGACACTGCACTTAGCACTTAGGCTGCCACTGCAATATAAATGCACATTGTTTCTTTAAGCATTTGTTTAGTGTTTCTGTCTATTCTAATGCTGATCTTTTGTATGTTCTGGGCAGGTTGTGGATGGCACCTCCTGCGGGCCAGACACCACATCTATCTGTGTTCAGGGCCAGTGCATAAAAGCCGGTTGTGACCAGGTCATAGGCTCAAATGAAAAGCTGGATAAGTGTGGTATCTGCGGAGGCGACAGTACGACCTGTAGGAAAATAAGTGGGTCACTAAACAAAGCTACGTAAGTAAAAAAAAAAACTATATTTAAGCATTATTAGAATGTTAGAAAACTGTCAAATATATTCTGGGAAAGGACAGAGTGAGCTGTTGATATAACTGAGCATATTTTGTTTTTGATAAGGAGACACTGAAATTAATATTCTATCCAAAAATAATTTCATGTTACTGTGAAAATTGAGCAATACTAAAATTCTACACTATTTTGTCTAAATAAAATAAATAAATAAAACACTAAAATCAGTGAATTTAGGTTTCACAACATTATAATATATAGAATGAAAAATAGACATTACTTTTGAGATTTGCTAAAGATTTTTAATTTAACAGTGTTATTAAACGATTCTTTTTTTTAAATATCTAAGGTAGTCAAAGTAGGGGAAATGAGCATGTACAATTAAGTACCCAATATGAGTCACTATATACTGATAAATTCAAAAGTCTTAAGCTCCAAAAGTGTTTTTTTATAGCAGTGCAATAGAATAACCATTTTGTGTTGCCCAAAGAGCCTTTCAGTCAACAGTTCTTAAAAGAACCTTTTTTTGTCTTAGTGTAACGTTGTGTAGTACTCCAAAATGCAGGCCGCAGAGATAACAAAACAGTCTTTAATGAACATGGAGAATAACACTCGGGAGAATATAGGAAACTACACACGTAAATTAAGCACGAGGACTGACAAGTGAACTGAACATAACAGGGAGTATAAATACCAGGCAAACATAATGACAGACAGGTGAAAATCATATGCAACCATAAGAACAAATTAAGATATAATCAGTAACCAAGAAATCCAAAACTAAACAGAGCAGGGAAACAGGAACTGAAGGAAACAAAACAGAATATCAAAATAACCGTGAGACCTTGATTAAAGAACATTTTAATAATCTAAAGAACCTTTTTTCCACTATCAAGAACCTTTTGTGCAGTGGGAAGCTTTCGTGGATGTTAAAAGTTTTCAATTGATGCCAATAAAGAACCTTTATTTTTTAGAGTGTACTGTCAGCCAGTAACCAATATGGTACGGATATATCATGCATATCATCCTAGTTTATGATATACTGTTTGCTTATAATATCTCCACAGTATTGGCTACATTGATATTGTTACCATCCCGGCTGGGGCTACTAATATTGACATAAAGCAACGCAGCCATAGAGGAATCGCACACGATGGTAACTACTTGGCGGTAAAGGCAGAAGGCGGAACCTACATCCTGAATGGGAATTTCTCAGTGTCTATGGCAGAGCAGGATATCCCAGTGCCTGGTGCCATGCTTCGCTACAGTGGCTCTTCCACCACCTTGGAGCGACTGCTCAGCTTTCACACACTTCGGGAGCCCATCACTGTCCAGCTGCTGTCCACTGCTGGGGACACCTCACCACCTAGGATAAAGTTTACTTTCTTTTTGCCGAGGGATGTGCCTTTTAGCAAACCTGGCACAGAGAGCAGGATTTCGGCACATGTTATCTTGCCTTTTGGTGGAGCTGACTGGGCCTTAGGTGAATGGTCTGAGTGCTCCAAGAGCTGTGGTGCTGGATGGTCCAGGAGAAGCGTGGAGTGTAGAGATGGGCAGGGATCCCTGACTTACTTCTGCGATGCCGACCTGCGACCGGCAGACATCCGGCCCTGTGGGGATCTGCCCTGTCCCATTTGGCAAATGGGGCCGTGGTCAGCATGCTCACGGACTTGCGGACCCGGAGAGCGCCACCGTACCGTAGTCTGCATGGACTACATGGGCAAGGTTCTAGGGCATGAGAAGTGCAACCCAGATAAGAGGCCAGAGGTAGTTGTAGGAGAATGTTTTTACCAGGACTGCTAAAGCTGACATAGTGTACAGTGTTAGAGAATGAGGAGGTGGTGGGATCCTTTGTGTCTGTAGTGACTGAGAAAGCCCTACCAAGCTTCACAAGCAATCAAAGGAGCTCTTAGATATAACAAGGATATTTGCTATGAATTATTACCTATATCATGGTTTAATCTAATTCTCTGTGTCTTATTTTGTTTAATTTTAACCAAAAAGGTAACCTCCCACGGAGATCTACCTCAGTCAATACAAGCTTCATAATGTTCACAATTGTTTAGAGAGGAGTCCTTTGGAAAACAGCAAAACCTTTGAACAAACCTGCTGAAATGTTATTCAAACATCTGTCAGATACCTCCATAATGCAGTATAGTTTACTCCACATATGAAACAAGTCCAAATTTAATGATACATGGTCACATAAATTATTCAAGTCAGAGCGTCCACTTTCTTTAAAAAAAACGTCAGAATGGACTGCATTTTATGTCTTCAAACAAGCATTGAGTCTGTTTCGTAATTATATCTACTACTTTTAATACTGTATTACCCATGAAGGCTTTCAGATTTTTCATATTACAACACTGGAAGAAACAGTATTTGGAAGTACAGTCTTTTACTGGCCACACAATAGCTGTATTTGAACAACATACACAGAGATAAGAGCTGTTGGAATAGATACAAATATGCTAATTTTACTTTTAAAATGTTACCTGGTTACAACTGTTAATTTGGATGAATGATTTTAGTTTGTAATGTAGAATCAAAGTGGAACTGTCTTCTCTCACACACTGTTGTCATTCAGCCATTAGGCAACAAGCTACCCCGGTCTGACAGCAACAGTGTAAAGACTGCGAAGCGTGCCTTAATATAAAAAAAGAAAATATAGCAACCACTGGTGCACATTACTTAAAAGGGGATCATATAATATAACCGATACTGCCATATGTGAGTTTCAGGAGAAAATAATTTATTGCTAAATGTTCATTTAGAAGTGGATAATTACTGTATATTATTAGACACACATGTGCCCTCAAGATAATTGCAATTATTACTAAAACTAAAAAAAAAAAAAACATTTCCTGTGAAAGACACTTTGAGATTGCATGCATTTTTGCAATGTATTAGGTGTATTTGTCTTTACTTCTCCAAGCTTTAGTTGACACTGTATAAATACATTTAACATACATCACCCTCACACCCATCATAAGAATGAAGAGAAAAATAATCTGAATGTTATGTATATATATATTAAAGTAATGAGACAACGATAGGTCAAGTGTTTGTTTAAACGCAGTAGTACTACTGAGTAGACAAGCCTGATTTTTCTTAAAGTTTCCCTTTTACCAGAAGAACACTGATATTTTTCAATAAGTGAAGAGTTGTTTCACATGTGGTTAAAAGAGATTAAATTTGATATGTTGTTGCAAAATTACCTTGCCTATAATTTAACTGAATAGGACCTGTAAAGAAAAAATGAGAGAAAAGATTTGCATTCCGTTTGAGTCAAAAGTATGCAAGTTTTTGAATGGTGCATATTTGAAACTAAAGCATTCTATCCCTTCAATGAAGGTCTGCACAATGCTATTGTTATAGCTTCCTTTTACAAACTATTTATTTTTTCTACCTTTAACACCTAAAGTTTTTTTCCTTGATGCTGCTGTCTGTCTTATACATGATTGATGTATGAATTTAAATCAATTAAATATGTCTACAATAAAATTGTTCCTTATTCATTTGTAAGGCTTCCACATCAACACATTGAAGAGTCAATTAGACAAGGTTTGTCCATACTAATAAAAGGCTAGGAACTAAGATTAAACCTCAGCGCAAACAATGAAAACTCAGAGAAGATTCAAATGTAAAAAATATAAGGACTCTGTGTTAGAGGCTGTGTGCAGTCTGGTTATTTCAGTTGGTTTTGTCAGGAAGGAAGGTAAGTTTTCTACTGTAATTAAATCTTATTTTAGTAAGAAAAGACTAGTACCTTGCCAGAAGTGACATAAAACAACAGTCAGTCAGTGTTGACTTTTTCTAAAAAAAAAAATATATATATATATTTTTTTAAAAAGGACATAGACAACACTTGACAGGAGAGATTTCTAGAACCAGTAACATTGCTGTAGTCTGAAACGAAACTCTTAAATACTCTACAAATGGTCTTTAAAAATTAAAATCATGCTTTTATTTTGTGTTACTCCGTCATCACAGCGCTTTTGAGGTCGTCACTAAAAATGAAAGGTCAGTCGCACAATCCCCGTGAAAAGCATTCTGGGATACAATATGTAAACATAAGCCTCAAACCTGTCAGAGGAGATACCAATGCATTTTATACATAATGCAATTTTGAGCAAGCTTCTTTTTGTATGACTTTGCCTTTTAATACAAACGGGGGGCCCTCGACTTCGTGATTTATCGGGATGTGACTCTGCTTTCAACAAGCGACAGTACTTCTGTGCAAGTGTCAGAATGCTAGCAGCTAGTTAGCTCGCTGCTGGCTCACATTCATGCGCTCATCATAGTTGTATAACATTTCACCGGATTCGACCGTTCTTCTTTGTTACTGGTGAGCTTGAAAGACATTCATCCAACTCGAGTAATGTTTTGTACACTGTGTTGACACTGACGACACTGTTGTAGTCATCGTCAGAGATTAGCGAGCTAGCCAATGAATGCTGCAGGTTAGCTGGACGTTGTTTTTTTGTTGTTGTTGTTTTTTTACTGTAAACGGTAAAGCACAAGTTTTACTATTCTTCTTGAGTATATTTTCTGCACAAGTTTTCGGTAACGTTAATGTCACATTGTTAACTCTTGGGTTTTTCATATATGCATTGTAACCTTACTCTCTAATTTACTTTACACACCGCACAATAGCAGGCCACATTCAACCTGTCAAAATGCGCAGCTTTTGGTGTGCACTAAATGCGTGAATCTAAACCTTTGGTATGGGGGGTTGAGAATGATATTGTCACGGCTTCTAGAATGCATGCTTGAGATTTGTTACACAAACAAAAGCAACTCGTGTGTAAAGCCACGCCCCTTTAACGTTCCCCGAGGATAAGTTTGACAGCCATCAACAATATGTCATTGTCTCCTGCAACAACTTCTCCATTTATTACTTATGGATGCATTATGTCTGTAATTCTGCATTTTTGATATTGACTAAGATTTCAGTGTATCTACTTTTGCCACATTTTCCCTGAGCTAAAATATTTTACATGGACAATCCACGGATAATTTAACTTTTAATCGTTATAGCCTACATTTCAAAACTGACATCTTTATATTTGTTTTGGGAGGCATTCACCACAAAATTAAAATTGTCTCATATTCACTCTCATGTTTTCCCTAACAACTACGACTCATTTTCTTCTGGGGAACACATAACTTTGACCGAAAGAATATTAGTGCAAGAGATGCCTTCTTAACGGTTGCTATATTTTTTCATGTATACATTTTATATGGTGTGTGTATGACTCGTTTATAATTATTTAAATATTTTGGGAATACTCATAAATAATAATAAAAAATATTAGATACTAAGTCATAATTCAATGTTTGTTTCCCATTCATTAACTAGAGAGTCTGTCCTGCCAGTTTCATAATGAACCGATTAAACTTCTCATAATAACAACAGTTCTTTAACGTTGTGTTTTGCGCCATTGCTTTGGCAAAGAAATGGACTTCCATAACTTTCTTTGTTGAAAATACATATTTTTTAACTCATTTCTTTATAATAATTGTTAGATGTCACCTGTAAACCTTTAAAATAAACTGATTTCATGAATTCTAATTTTTACTTTTAATTTATAAGTTACCACATTGAACATTGTTAAAAGGATATTTTTTTGTTTTTCAATTTTTCACGGCCCCCCAATAACTCTTGTGGGTTCCTAGACCACAGTTTAAAAAAAACCTGGCTTAGAGTATTGACACCTTAAAAAGCAGTGGTTGGGTTTTTATCAGTATTTCAACCGTGTCGTCCAGTTACTGCTGGAGCAATAAATCAGAAATGTGCAGAGGCAAAGGTTTTTTTTTTATGGCTATTTTATAGCCCTACGCTTTAATTTGTCCCCAAAATCTTGTAAAGTCTCTGTCACTGTGTGGAATGCAGCTTACTGTTCTAAGAACTCAAAGTATAATCTTTCTAAGAATTAAGTGAATTTCTTAGATGTTTCTTAGCTTACTTCATCTCCTTGTTTGATAAGACACTGCAGTTGTAAATGTTTAACAGTGTGAGTCAAGGACCAAAGATGATCTCTTTCTCTCTAAACCGAGACAGACTCATTTGGACATCTGTATAGTTTAGACTTATCTGCCATCACTCTGTTAGCTGTCAGTTGGATCCAAGCAATTCTAAACCAATTTTTGGCAGATGTTATTTGAGGGAGTTTATTTGGGCTTGGAAAAGTTACAAAATCAGGATTCTTCAGCTCTGAATCATTCTAAGTATGTGCTTGTGCTTTGTGTCATAAGGATCACTGGAAATGAAAAAAGTGCTGAAGGTGTACCGCCTTGTGTCTTCTGTCTGTATATCTAGCTCTGTTAGATCAGCAGTGAGGAAGAATATTCCTTGCCAGTGACAGTGAGATTGATAAACTTTTACTTGGGAGAACTTTTAGGGGATTTTTTTTTCTTTCTTTAGAATAATAACAAATAATTTTTTTTAAAGCCTATCTATTTTCATTAAATCAACTTTAGCACAAATATATTCTGTAATGATGCAGTATGTATTTAACATATTTATTTAAATTATATAAAATATTATATTATTTAAATTATATAAAATATTATATTAAATTATAATATAAAAATAGGCTATGTGTGCATGGTATTTGGAGTTCTCTTCATGTTTTTAACAATACTTTAATGACAGTCAATTATGTATATTCCTGCAAACTTACATCCCTACTTCAAATATTCAATTACGGTTTGATTACTTCAAAAACCTGTTGTAGTTTGCATTTAAATGTTAGCCATTTTGTGAGACTAATGTATCTTATTCTGTCCAGGCAGCCCAGACTCCTCGTCCTACTGTGAAGGATGGGTGTGAAAACCTTCACTCACAACTCCCCCAGCCACAGCCAGGAGCTTTTGGATAAGCTTAACACCCTGCGCAGTGAGGGCCACTTCTGTGACGTTACCATTCGTGTACAGGGCCAGCTGTTCTCAGCCCACAAAGTAGTACTAGCCTGCTGTAGTGACTTCCTTCGAGCGAAGCTGTCTGGGAAGCCGGCTGAAGAAGACACTGTGATTGTAGGTGAAGATAAACATGTGCTGGATCTTCAACACGTGACTGTCGCTGGTTTCGCCCCTCTTTTGGAATACGCCTACACATCCACCCTGTCCATTAGTACGGAGAATATCATCGATGTACTCGCGGCGGCTAGCTACATGCAGATGTTTGCGGTAGCCAACACTTGCTCTGAGTTCATGAAGTCCAGTATCCTGTGGAACTCTGCATCCTCGGGAGCAGGAGGCCCTGGTAGTACCCTGCCCCCTGGTTTACACAGGCCCCAAGAGCCACCTGAAGGCCATGCGAGCTGCACCCTCGCCCCTGTAGATGCCCTCTCACCGTCTCCGGTCTCATCCGAGTGCAGCGTACCGGAGCGGCCCATCCCTGTGTGCCGCGAATCTAGGCGCAAGCGCAAAGGCTTTGCGAGCCCGCAACCAGCATCCTCTACCTCTCCACAAGTCCCCAACCCCTCTCCCTCCTCTTCCTCCTTCCCTGAGAGTTCAGCGCAGGCTCTGGAACCATCTCTGGCCTTCTCCTGGACATACCCCTTTGGTGTGGACCGGCGGTTTACGCCAGAGAAGTCAAAACTACCTGAAGGTCTCCTGGAAGCATCCGGAGCGTCGGGGCAGGACTCTAGTGGACGGGCACTGGTGGAGTATCTCGCCTGCGAGGGCCCGCGCAGCCTGGGGGTTGGGGGTGCGGCAGGGGTAGAGGAGGAGGAAGAAGATGATGTGCAGGTGAAGGTGGAGAGGCTGAGTGATGAAGAAGTGCATGAAGAGGCTTCTCAGCCGGTCAGTGCTCCACACAGTTCTCTGAGTGACCAGCAGACGGTTCCTGGCAATGAACACACCCAAGAAGATCTACTCATCAGCCCCCAGTCCTCATCCATTGGTAAGACTCCTTACATTCATACATACAATTTTTTGATTACACTTATTCTGTGATGAGCATGTATTTAACGTCTGTATTACATGGTTATTACAAGGTCTACTGTTCACAAGGTAAATGTTTTTTTATTTTAAAGAAATTATACTTTTATTGAGCAAGAACGCATTAAATTAAAGCTGCCGTCGGCAACATTTTTTTGATCATATTCAGTGAAATCGACACTATAATCCGACAGAACAACATAAATAAAGTGGTTTTAGAAAAAAACCCGAGCTTCTAACTCCACCTGGAGCGTGTTATTTGTTTTGCAAAAATCCACAGCTCCCGGATAATCGGGTCCAATCAGCGCAGGGGGGTGTGAGATCTGACTGTCAATCACAGGTCGTGCACACGCCACCCCTCGCGCACGTTACAATCACATGCACACGCCTGAAGTTCGCGGAAGTTCACGCAGTAACGAAGAGTGATGGCGGAAAATCAAGTAAGCTCATTTAGAGTATAAATGACGTTAGCAATTGCAATCTATCGGTTAGGGGTGTAACGGTACACAAAAATCACGGTTAGGTATGTACCTCGGTTTTAAAGTCACGGTTCGGTACGTTTTCGATACACCAAAAAGTAAGAAATGCCAGAGAAATTTCCTATTTGTTAAAAGAAAAAATATTTTTTTAAATAAGTGTGAGTTTTCCTACATCTTGAAACTTTCAGGTTTATAAATGGGTGTCATCTTTGAAGGATGAACAAATAATGTTTTGGTCATCACATTAAAAATAACATTTAAATATATGAAGAGTTCAGATGCAAAAGCCATTTGAAATTTTCTTCTAGAATGATCATTTTTATCAAGCTTGTATATTTAAGTTCAGTAATTTCACTTAAATGGCAATGAAGATTACCTATTAATTGTCATTTGAGTGAAATTACTGAACTTAAATATACAAGCTTCATAAAAATGATCATTGTAGAAGAAAATTTCAAATGGCACTTAGAGGCTTTTGCATCTGAACTCTTCATATATTTATTTATATAATATTTGAGTTTTGAAGTGCTGGAAAAAGATGTGTGAAGTACTTGAAAGCATTTCAATATTCCAGCCAAACTGGTTACAGTTAGTGTTACTATATTAAATCCATGGTGAATGTTGCTGGTCTGTGGACGGAAAGTATTACTAGTTCATTCACGGCACAATATTTCTCCTGGTGTCCACGTCAGCGCTGTTTGATCTAATAATAGAGATCTACGGTTAATAACGGAGAAATGTGAATGCTTTTCACTAGATCTCGCAGCGATGTTATTACTTCAGTGGCAAATTCAAATGTTTTCTTTACTGGATCTTAGCGCTGTGTTGGAACAGTGTCGCTTTGAGATCGGCTCGCGCTGCACAGATGTTGCTGGTCCGACGGTCCGTGAAGCACATAATGAGTAGCGCAGTTTCGTTCCGCTTTCATTACGCTTGCCATTTCATTCCTGACGAATTTTGTCGGCAGGAAAAATGGTCCAAGGAATCGTTCGGTTTGTATGCGTACCGAACCGGAAGCCTCGAACCGAAACGGTTCAATACGAATACATGTACCGTTACACCCCTACTATCGGTAGATTAGCCAGGACAGCATACCTCCAAATAATCCATGGTGTTGATGGATGCTGATGAGACGGGCGCGTTCACTGAAAATCTGGTGCACACGCACTGACGAGCATGAACTCGGTGGGAGGGTATTCGTTGATAGTGGGGGAGGGCCATGAGAGTTGTAAACATTCAAAATTTTGCCTAAGTCCACTCAATCTGCCAGACTTGCCGACTGCAGCTTTAATCAAAGTGACTGCAAAAACATTTATACAAAGTTCTGTCACGAAACTCTCGATACAGGGTTCGTACGGTAATGAAAAACCTGGAAAAGTCATGGAATTTTAAAATAGCCATTTCCAGGCCTGGAAAAGTTTTGGAAAAATAAATAAACCCAGAAAGTTTTGGAAAAGTCGTGGAAATCAGTTTCAAAATATTTATATAATGGAATATATGTTTAAGTAATAATATTGGTTAAACAAACTACAATGCTTCACTCTCATTCGATCCATCCGACTGCGGCATTCCATCAGATTTTGTCGCAGCAGAGTTGAGCATTTTAACCAATCACACACGTTTCTGTTGAGCTAATGAATGTGATGACCAGTCAGAGGCATTCAGACTAGTCATCACTGAAACTGAAAATACTTTTATTCAGTGCACGTGCTGTCTGACTGAAACTCGCAAATTCACCCATCATAAACAACAAAGTGCAAATTTGATGAGAATCATGTCGCAGTGTCGTCAGCTTCCGTGATTTTATCGGGAGTGCTTGTGAGAGTGCTTAAACTCGCTCTAGACCCAAGAAAACGCATTGGGGTAATGACCCTGTAATGAGTTCCTGTTAATTTGATCATTTATGAGTAACATTAAACAGTCTGTGTAAATAAACATTTATGCTATTTCAGATGTAGCTTCTGTTCCACCTTTCCTGTGTAAAGATGGCTTTTGTTAATGATACAATTTTATTGGTAACAGTCTTTGTAGTATTCTGATTGATTTAGTAGTTGGTAAAAATTATGATTTTTTGTATTTAAGTATGGAATTAAGTATTTGACATAAAACAACACAAATCATAAAAAATTGCACTTATAAAGGTAAAAAAAAGAATGGTAAATAGGAGGCAACGCTGTTTTAAAATGTTCTTAGTTACCAAATTTTGTATTCCAAACATTTGTCTCTGGCATATGTGTTGTGTATTGGCAGTTGCAAGTCCCGTACTTGCTCTGCAGCAGCAGCAACAGCAGCAGTGTAGCAGATCTATTCCACCAAGACCAAACATATCAACATTGTAATATCCATTACCATGCCAGAAATAACATTACAAAAGATTTCTATTTTAAATAAATACTGTTTTTTTTTTTTTTTTTTTTTTTACTTTCTATTGATCAAAGAATAATGAAAAATGTAACTGTTTTACTGTTTTGATCAAATAAATGCAGTTTTGGTGAGCATAAGAGACTTCTTTTAAAAACATTTAAAAAAATGTACCAACCCCAGACTTTTGAATGGTAGTGTATATTTAAAACATTTTTGAAAATTATGTTATTATGTTAAAGCTACAATGTCATTTTTTTCGCCGCTAGGGGTCACCAACCTCTTAAAATAACAAAGGCGTAGATTGATGACGCACAAGCGGAATTATGGAACTTGTCTCATGCCGAAGGATCTAAAAATGTTTATGGATGACGAGTGAAAACATTGATGTTTTTTAACATGACTGTGGAATGAAGTTGGGCGCGATTGCTAATGAGTGACAGATATTAGCGCCACACGCGAGTCCCGCGGATATTAAAGGAATAAGGACATTTCATTCTACCGAACTACCCCGAAGTGCTGAACTAATGCCGCGTTCCAGGCAACCTGTAACCTGTGTTTTTCCAACTCGTAACTGGGAGTACATCGTTCCAGACAACCTGTAAACCCGTGTTTTTCCAACCTTATACCCGTGAAAGTGCACTGGAACGGCAGTCAAACCCGTGACTTCCCATCCGTGAACTCGTACTAGATCGATCTACTCCCAGTTACGAGTTGGAAAAACACGGGTTACGGGTTGCCTGGAACGCGGCATAATACTCAGGTCAGTTTATTTGACGAATTAAATTTGTGAGGTAACGCAGCGCTGTTTCACTTGGTCTACAGTATCACACTAAGCTGCATTTGAGTGTGTTGAACGTTATGTTATATTATATGTGTTAGTTTGTTGGCTGTATGAGACAGTAAGCTAGATCATCATTAGAATAACATACTGATCATATTCTAACATTTCATCATGTTGAGCTATATAACATTGATTAGTTTTATGTACATTTGCTCACCTGTTTAATAAAGTACATACAAGAGTGGCGTCTCTGTCAAGTCAAAGTTTGTCACGGACGTGGAGCTCTCGGCATCTCGAAAACGCCACGTTGATATTGATCCTCGTTTTAGTTCTTCTTTTGCCCCAAAGTCTGCTTGCCATGGTCCATAATGTTTGAACGAAACAACAACAGCGTGAGCGTGCTGCTAGACGTAACGCAGTTATCCACGTCTGTCGCCATGGTTACTATGGCAGTACGAGCAGAAACCAGGGATAACACGGATATTACATCATTGACAGGCGACAAGGGATCAGGGAGTCAGGGACGAGCCATTATTTAAAATTGGAATTTCTCTGAAATTAAAAATCGTTGGGAACTTTTGGGATATTGTAAGTACACAACTACAGGAAATATATCACACTGTGCAAGTGATCTTTGGGTATTTTATTACAAAAATCTTTCATATTGTAGCTTTAATTATGAAAAATTGTATAATTTTTTTATAATTGCACATGACAGTTAAAGGGATAGTTCACCCAAAAATGAAAATTCTGTCAGTAATTACTCACCCCCATGTTGCTCCAACCCCGTAAGACATTCGTTCATCTTCGGAACACAAATTAAGATATTTTTGATGAAATCTGAGAGCTGGATCACTCCTTCATAGGCTGCTAGGTAATTGCATCTGCCGGCCCAGAAAGTTAGTAAAGACATTGTTAAAATAGTCCAAGTGACTACAGTGGCTCAACCTTAAGTTTATCAAGCGACGAGAATACTTTTTGTGCCCAAAAAAAACAAAAATAATGACTTTATTCAACTATTCATTTTCTTCTGTGTGGGCCTCTGAGTGAGTTCACGAGAGCGCCACGACGCATGCGCGAGAACTGAGAAGATGACGCAGGTGGGTCTAATGCTTACCTTTCACACTTTCACATCAAATGATCGTGAGCGCCATCTTCTCAGTTCTCGCGCATGCATCGTGGCGCTCTCGTGAACTCACGTCAGAGGCCCACACGGAAGAAAATAAAGTCGGTATTAATAGTTAAATAAAGTCTGTGTTTTTGTTGTGCACAAAAAGTATTCTCGTCGCTTGATAAACTTAAGGTTGAGCCACTGTAGTCACTTGGACTATTTTAACAATGTCTTTACTAACTTTCTGGGCCGGCAGATGCAATTACTAGCAGCCTATGAAGGAGTGAGACAGCTCTCAAATTTCATCAAAAATATCTTAATTTGTGTTCCGAAGATGAACGAAAGTCTTACGGGGTTGGAACAACATGAGGGTGAGTAATTACTGACAGAATTTTCATTTTCGGGTGAACTAACCCCTTAAGTCATTAAATTGACAATGACATATTTACCTCATATTTATCAGAACTTTACTCTTTGATTATTTCATGCACTTTTGAGAACTACTGAGGCAGTATCTGTTTAAAATAAACAATATTGAAACATAGTTTTACTGGAGAAGAGGTTAAAAAACAACATTTTGCTCTCTCTTCAGGCTCCATGGATGAGGGGGTGACGGAGGGTCTACAGTCAATGCAGGGCACTCCAAACACTACTGGTCACATGGAGGAGGATGAGAGGTAAGACCCCTTTGAGTGTCTGGGTTGTTTTTACAGAGTATCCATTTACATCGTCTCACTTTTATGATTGAACTAAAAGGCCCCTCTGAGGAGGGACATAATTTTTTAGACTTCTCGTTATCGTCTTTCCTCATGTATACTTATTTATATGCAGTAGAGGCTTCTGTGATATTGTAGTGGCTATTAGGATGAAGATTTCTTGCCAAGAGGTCAGAGAAGCTAGTTGGCAGGCTTTCTGGAAACTTCTTGGACATGAATTTGCCTTTTGGAATACTGGAAGAGAAGGGAAATGGTATGATGCAAAACAAATGGGATAGAAAAAAAGACACTGCTGTCCATCTCAGAAGTGGGAGTCTGCTTTTATATGACAACTTGATATGCCTGACTAAATGTGTTATATGTTAAATCTTTTTGGGGTGATCTCTGTGCATCTGTGGAAAGAGGAAATTGTAGCAGTACTGCAAATACACTTTCTTTCGTGACACTCTCTTTAAATTCCTACCCAAATTTACATGTATTCCTTTCAAGGGGTCATGAAATGGAAAATCAAAATGTTCTTGATATTTACACATTTAAGAGGTTACTCTGCAATAAAAACATACTACAATCAGCATGCTGAAACAGACTGTTGCAATCGTTTTAGTTGCCTTGGTTGATTTTCTTCTGACTCTGGCTCAAACCTATACGGCTCTGTTACGGCACTGGCCATCTTGAGCATCAAAAAACACATCACACATGCTGCGAGCGAGGACATATACGGTGTGATGAAGTTCACCAATCAAAGCAGTGGGCATTTACTTGCATTTCTGAAAGAGGTAACCCCTCTTGTAACAGAATGTGAAGAGAGTTAAAGTGAAAATGAGGATGAATTAATTAATTTGACTAAATAATTTATTTTTGGTAATATTGATATAAAATTTGGTAATAAATATAAAAACATATTATAAAATGCACCCCTTTAACAGATTTTTAAATGTAGGTCTTGTGAAGACAAACAGGACACCCGTAAATCGATCTGTTGCATTAAGATTAAAGAAGATAGTGTTATCACAGGTACAATACCATTCAAAAGTTTGAGGTCGGTACAATTTTTTACATGTTTTTTAAAGAAGTCTCTTATTTTCACCAAGGCTGTAATCCAGTAACTGTATCTGTACATTGTGAAATATTATCCCAATTTAAAATAAATGTTTTCTGTTTCAGTATATTTTCAAATGTAATTTATTCTTGTGATGCAAAGCTACATTTTCAGCTGCATTACTCCAGTCTTCAGTGCCACTTGAAAGTAGTTGTGCTGCTTAATGTTTTTGTAGAAAAAACATGCTGAATTTTTAAATAATTTTCAGGATTGTTTGATGAGTGCAAAGTTCTAAAGAACATTTATTTGAAGTAGAAATGTATTTTGCAACATCCTTACTAAATCAAATTCAAAACAAATTCTTACTGAACCCTAAAACTTTGGGAAGATGGAGGCACATGTGTCACCCTGTTTCCTTATTTAGTCATTTAGATTCTATTAAGAGTTTTTCCAACTTAAAATAATTACTTGAGACAAGACAGGTTTTTTTTTTATAGAAAAGTTCTACAAGTTTCTTCATTAGTGACTACTAAGAGTCAGTGTGTAATTGGATCGTCTAATTAGTCTCTTTTCTTTTTTTCTTGTTGCTTTTCTCCAGGTTGGAGAATGTCCAGTACCCATACCACCTGTACATCAGTCCCTCCACCCGCCCAGGACTCAACGGTCCTGAACGGCCCTTCCAGTGTCCTACATGTGGCGTCCGCTTTACTCGAATACAGAATCTCAAACAGCACATGCTCATCCACTCTGGTGAGAGAGCCTCTGCTATTACAGGACTCCACACTGACCGTGACAGTGCATGTGAATGCTAAGAATTATTTTTCTCCCTTCAAACACTATATTATATTCACTTTATATTCCTGATGCCTCACCCAGTGCTTAATTTAAGCCGTGTCCTGCCCGATCCTGTTCCGGAAAATAAACAATCTGGAATTAACAAGTGCATTTCATGGTGATAGTGCGTGTCTGCATGAGACAGAGCATGTGTGGGTTTGTTTTGCGCACAGTGAGCAGCGTAAAGTATGGAGAGTGTATATACCTGGCAGATTATTTTATTAAAAAAATATGAAAAAATGTCAAAAAGACAGTCAAGCTAATTTAAATTTTTCATATCCGCGAGTAAAGCTGATGGTGTTTCTGATTTAAAAAAAAAAAATATCCTGAGAAAATGGAACTGCATCTCTTGACAATTTTGCTAATACTAATCAGGATAGCTGGAGACATGAGTACCGGGAGTTAGATCAGTCAGATTCGGTGTAATAAAGAGGCAATGATGTCATCGGTGAGAGAGAATATCACTGATCAACTGAATGATATTTGGTCTCAACGTAGCTATATGTTACAGAATAATACACTAGTATTGTAGTTAGGGCCATGCAGACACTTGTGAAGGATGCCCTTAGTTGTGCTATCACCGTTTAATGACGTCATTGTATGTTCCAGGACAACTGAAGTTGTAAGGTCGGTGTCGACCTCACAACGCCTTGTAATTGTTGTTTTGGATCAGGCAATTATTAATTTACAAGCACTTTAAGCAATGGCCTCATCCCATTTTTCTAATGATTAATGTACTGAAGCTTTATTGTTCAAATGTTTTAGGACAGCTGAAGACAGGTGGTAAGCTTTTAGACAGGATTCAGGAAAGACTTAATGTCGGGCTCTGTTATACATAAACATCTTGTTTGCAGAAAAGTACAACATGATTCACCCTAATCGACTTTTTAGTTTATACAGAGGTGGTGTTTTGTTTGCTGTTGATTGTCCAAATAGAACTCATCACAGCGATTAGTTATGGACTGGTGAAAGCGATTGTATGCAATTGGTTTAGTTGTGGGTTATGTGACCAGCATATTGTGACACATTGCTGGAGTGAACCTTCACAATAAACATCCTGACTTATTTGCATGAGTAGGACGATGTTTTTGGTTATTTTGTCTTTTATTTAGCAGTTAGCACACAACAAACTCAAACAAAGACATTCTTGTTATGTTCATTTCAGTCTCATTCAACTTCATTATCATGTTTATTTGCTAATTATCTCCTGTTTTCTGATATGAATATGGTAGACAGTAATCTTTCATGGGTTTCCTCTACAGGTATTAAGCCATTCCAGTGTGACCGCTGCGGGAAAAAGTTTACGCGGGCTTACTCCCTGAAGATGCACCGGCTGAAGCACGAAGGTAAACGCTGTTTCCGGTGCCAGATCTGTAGCGCCACTTTCACTTCCTTCGGTGAATATAAGCACCACATGAGGGTGTCTCGCCACATCATCCGCAAGCCTCGGATTTACGAGTGCAAAACGTGCGGCGCCATGTTTACCAACTCCGGCAATTTAATCGTACACCTGAGGAGTCTCAACCATGAGGCGTCAGAACTAGCAAACTACTTCCAGACCAGGTGAGGAGGAGCTGAACATTCTAAGAAAATATTTAGAAGTACAAATTTAGTTTTGTACGGTCGGCCGTTCATCTCATGTTGAGGAGGTAGCAGATGCGTTTTTGAATTGAGGGGGGCAGAAATTATTTAAATGTATTGAAGAATATATGTATAAGGTGAAACACTTTACAATAAGGTTCAATTCGTTGACATTAGTTAATGCATTGGGTGTCATGAATTAACAAAGATCATTACTTTTAAATCATTTATTAATATATTTTTATTCATTTGAAAGAAGCCTGTTGTGCTCAACAAGGATGCATTTATTTGATTAAATACAGTAAAAAAATAAAAAGTAATATTGTGAAAAATTATTACAATTTAAAATAACTTTTCTATTTTAAAATATTTATTTTAATATATTTATTCTTGTAATCTATTCTTCAATGTCACATGATCCTTCAGAAATCATTATAATATGCGGATTTGGTGCTCCAGACTTTCTTATTATTATCAATGTTGAAAACAGTTATGCTGGTTAATATTTTTTGTGGAAACCGTAATAAATCAGTAAAACAAAAATGAATTTTATCATATATTTTTTGGTAACAATGTTAAAGTTTTTACTGTAACTTTTGATCAATTTAATGCATCCTTGCTGCATACATTTTTTTATATCTTGAAAAAAATATCTTACTGTACCCCAAACTTTTGAACAGTATTAATGTATGTTCGTAATACATAAACTAAGGTTAATTTATATAAATTCAATTGTATACTATGAACATACATTAATTAACAATGACAAATAGTATATTTATAAATGAACAATAACCTAGATTAATAAATTCTGTAATAATTGTTGCTTATTGTTAGTTGATTCATGATACCCAGTGCATGAACTAATGTAAACTAATATAACCTTATTATAAAGTGTTACAGATGTATTTTTAAAGACTGAAGATGACAGGTTTTTCTCGTTGAGGTGTGACTGACAAAATTCTTCTATCAGATGAAATGTCTTTCCTGCTGAGTTTTAACAGGTTTACCCCAGTCCAAGCTAACGCCCAGTTCCATTACTGAATTCAGTTAATTACTGAATAGAGCTTTCAGGAAATCACTGAAATCTCCTCTATTGACTGTCCTGATCCGTATTATGCTTATGTTTATTTGTTCCTGAATAGCTTTAACACACGTGCACACCCTTCAGTTTTTCTTGCATTCTATTCTTAAAATTGCACGTGTATTTCTCTAAGATGTGTTCTCCAGAAAAAAAGAAAAAAAACTAAGTGACTTACCTGTTTGAAACCAAGTATTTTCTAAATGAAATAATCATGGCTTTGATTCCATTTTGGAAGTAGCAGGGAAATCAATCCTGCGTCAGCTCAATAGGTTTTTTTAGTGAAGTTTTTAAAAAAGCTTAGTGGAATCACTGTCTATATTTTTGAGGAGACTGTAAGAGACGTTCGTCTGAGGTAATCTTCATGAGGCTAGCCCTTCATTAAAGCAGAGGGAAGGGAGTCAGGTGCATTTATGCATTGAGCTCCTGCTACACGTAGACTCCCTTATTTCATCCAACTGTTTATTTGATTTAAGCCCTCTCGCTCTTAGGATCTTTGTGGTCTATTCATCTTTGTCAGGCACAAATAAACAGTGTCTATGAAAGCTACAGTGCTGAGGCAATAGTTTGGCTCTGCCGTGTGCTTCTTAAGAGAGGGAGCGGTCATGTAGTGTATCCCGATGAAGTTGTATTATTGCGATAACAAGAAACGGTCGGCATTGCAGCCAGACTTTTCAGAGATCTTTGATGGACTTAATGTTTAATTGTAATTTTAAGATGAACAAACAAGTACAAATTGAAAAGTGCTAACTGGGTTAATTAGGTATCTCACATGACCTTGTGCTAAGGACTTTAAATTCGGAAATCATTGTCGAGACTGCAACGACTTACTGTAAAGAAATAGGAAATTATGTCATTAGAATCTAAATCCTATTCATGGATTAAGCTATCAGTGTTTGACTTGTAATTTCTTGCTATATCACTTTTTCTGCCAAGCCACAATCCTCAATCTAATTTTGAAGCTTCAATTTTGACTTTTAGTTTAGATAGCTGAAGTGTTTTGCCAGAGGACATTTTGCCAAAGTTTATTGCTAGACTTGAACATGCTAGGACTGGCTGTTTGTGGGGGAAAAATCCAAAGAATCTTAGACTCGTATACCAAACTTGGAACACAATCTTGAGTTAATCATAACTAATTACTATTTTGCTTTTTGACAAACTTGCGCCTGAGTGGTTTGACATCCTCTGATTGTGGCTTCACAGAGGATATTGAAAGCAATAACTTCAAATTTTAATAACCTATTTTTGTGTTTTAGCCCCATAATTTTTTATAAAGAAGTTTGAGCTTTTATGCTAAAAAGCCAATGAAGATACTGTAGATACTAAGATTGTGAAATATCATTGTAAAGATCATTAAACTTGTCAGTTTTATCTCATGTTAAGTTAGTATTGATGGCAGTGATGATTTTCTGAACATTGGCGCTTCTCTCCCTTTTGTTGCCCTAGTGAGTTCCTCCTCCCAGACTACCTGAGTCACATGCAAGAGGAAGAGGGTCTGGGACACTTTGAGATGAGTGAGCACACCTTTGAAGCTTCTTCCTCCTCTTCCTCAGTCCAAACACCAGTTATCTCTCAAGTTTCCTCTACCATGAACTATGACACCCACACTTCTGCACCTCCTTCCCAAACCCCAAACCCCAGATCCGGGCAGGAAGGGGAGGGCACACCAGGGGACCATCCCAAGTCCACCGCTGCTGTTACCTCTCTACAAGACCCAGAGGAAGATGAGGGAGAGAAGGAGAGAGGGGGGAGAAAGAAGAAAAGACTTGTGTCAATTACAATTGAGTGAAAACGTTCCATGTAAACATGTATAATAACAGTCCTGTTGCACACTCAGTACTTCTGTTGTTGATGTCTCGTTACAGCTTACAAATCTGATGTGTTCCATTATCAAAAAGTATAATGCCTTTTGATATTTGTTCATTCTGATTTGTTGGGGTTACTTTAAAATTCAAGTCAAGTCACCTTTATTTATATAGCGCTTCATACTGATTGTTTCAAATCAGCTAACAGGAAAATAGTGATGCAATGATACAAACAGAATTCAATTCTGCTGTGAAGCAGCTCTAAAAAGACAATAGTAAACAGTCATTTGTTTGTTACAATTGTTGTAATATCACATTTGATTTGGATTTACATACAAATTTTTCTGAAAGAACATCACAATTCTAAATTAAAAAACATAAACAAACTTGAAATAAAAAAGTGACTTTTTTATTTATTAGTAACCCATTATTATCTGTGACTATAATGAATTTGTTCCATTGAACATATTAATCTTTTTTTTATTATATAATTTTTTAACCACTTTGTGGCAGTGTCGAAAAGAATCTAATTGTACAAATGTGATGTTTTTTGCATAACGTTGAACTATGACTGATCTCTTTTTTTTTATTAATTTTCTTCTTTTTCTCCTATTTCATGTCTGCGCCTTAACATAGCAAACTGCCCCTTCTGACTGTAAACAAACCTGTTATAAACTGGGAAGCTTCGACCCCCTGAGGACCGTTCCTAAAAAATGTGAAAGTCTGTGTTACTACTTCCATGTGTGTTCAGAGCGGAAACAAAACACTGAACCTGACTGGCACAAAACAACCATGAAACCTTATTAATGGGCTGTTGTGCGTGGATGGTGACTAATCTAATGAGTGTATATGTGAAGAGTAGCCCTGTTTTCCTAGCCCTCTTTTCTGCTGTGTGTAATGCTGCTAAATTTTGTAAACTGTGCCTCTTGCCCAGCTCTCCGAACCACTCGTCAATTCGATCTAAAGAGCTGTACGTGAAGTCCTTTAGTTTAACATTGTTCTTTTGATTGTGACATATGGATGAAAAGGGTCACGTTTTAATAGAGTGGAAGGTGATATTTCCATAGCCTTTCCCATTTTATTGCTGTTGGAATTATTCTATGGAATTTTTCTCCATAACTTGATGCCATAGTTGTATGTGCCTAACAGTCTCCAAAACAAAGTTTATGAACATCTTGTGACTATGGCATGAGCCTTGATTGAAGATATGTAGCATTTATTTTGTTTGGTGATTGTAATGATCGTGTATTGCGTACAAATCTGCTTCCTCCATGTGATATTGCACCTGGCAATCAGTCTCGAAGCTGCTCCATTCCAACATGATTTTGTAGGGAACAAACATTTTAATAGGCTTTGTGCAATATTGTTTCGGATGATTCACGTGTTCCAAAATGAAATGATGTGAATTAAAACATTTTATACTGCAGTGGACAATGAGCTGAATGAGTGAAGATAATGAACTACAGGAGGGGGTTAGTCGAGGGAATAAGCTAAAGCATGTACCCTTCGATAAACAGTTCATATGAAATCATATTTTGTTACAAAAACTAGGTTGCAATATCATTCTCTGATGTCATTTCCCTCGAGATGGTCTCCCGCTTATCTCACTCTCCATTTTTGCAACCGCGGGCTGTTGCTCAAACTCAATTACTTCATAGTCTGAGAGTTTGTAGTGACGCATTTATCCATAAGACAATATTGGCTGTCTGTCCCAGATTGCTCTTTGTGCTACTTGCATGTTTTCCGTGCAAATAGAAATATGGGGGGGGGGGGGGTCAATATAGCATGGGTTGATTCGTTTGTTGGATGTCGTTTCAGATATGTGCAACTACAATTTTGTATACAATATTCAATCTTTGGTGTTCAATTGTTTGAGCAGAAAGAAAACGTGATATTTCAGTAGTCATAATGCTTTTTTTTTCCAAAATCTGCATCGATGACGGTTACCTTGTAAAGTGTCAATTTGTACATTTGTAATATCAATGTAAGTGTGAGTAGTTATTTGACTTGAGCCTTGTAGTGTTCGCTTTTGTGACCATGTCTTAATAATAGTATATACTCTATATTCTTTTTTAAAGCCTATCGTTTTAGTCGTATCTTGTGCCTTTGGATATTGGATCTGTATTGTATTTTAATTGGCATAAACATTCATTGATATGAATTCATAATGTTTTGTAGACAGAATGCTGGTAGACTTCAAATGTAGCTTGAAACTAAAAATATTTTTGAAGTGCTATTCGACACGGTTTAAACTGTATGTTTTGTGTTTATTTTCATAAAGAATAATGTATTAGTCATTTTGTATCCTTTCAGTGGTTCTTATCATCTGTTTCTGTGCCAATTCAGATTTATTGGATGATGTTTTGTAAAAACATTATGTACATTCAGATTTACAGTAAATGGTTACAGCCTGAGACTCCAAGCCTAAATTCATTGCTTCCATTTTTATTGCTAAATAGTCATTCGGGTGTATCTTCTTAAAATTATCCTACACACATGTACACTACCATAATTTTTTTATTTTTCTTTTTTTTATTAATACTCTTATTCAGCTAGGATACATTCAATTGATTAAAACTGGGGGGTGGGGGAAAAATTCACATAAATGTTTTTTTTTACTTTCTATTTATCAAGGAATACTGAATAAAATGTATCAAAGGTTCCCCAAAACATTAAGCAGCTCACCTGTTTTCAACATTGATAATAATAAATGTTTCTGAAGCACCAAATCAGCATATTATGATTTCTAAGGATCATGTGACTGAAGACTGGAGTAATGATGCTGAAAATTCAGCTTTGCTATCACAGGAATAAATCACATTTTAAAATATATTAAAATAGAAAACAGTTATTTTAAACTGTAATAATATTCACAATATTACTGTTTTGACTTTGTTTTGTCTAATAATGCAGCCTTGTTGAGCACAAGAGACTTTTTAAAAATCTTTGTAAAAAATCCTAACCTCAAACGTTTGAACTGTAGTGTAGAGTTACTACCATTCAACTAGGGAAACAAAGTAGATTCAATCAGATTCTTACATGCATGAGTCATGACGTTCGTCAACTGCTGAGAAAGTTATTTGCAAGGCTATTGAACTATAACATCTTCTCATTTGACATTTTATAGAATGGTTTGATGGTATGATGGTTCTCTTACGAGAGGTTCTCTCGTATTGCGTAAGCTAGCTTACGCTACGGGAAAGATTCATCTTTTCTGAGAAATTGAAGCCAAAAATTATCCTATAATTTTGTATCTATTGTCAACGCAGTTCAGCTGCAGCAGAGCATGAGCAGGCTAGCTAGCAGCTCATTGGCTCGCTCACAGGGAACTGCTTAAGCCTATGAGGAGACACGAATGAACTCTCGGAAATTGCGTCAGAGCCCGCCGAAACGGGCGTGGTCAGAGTATAAATTCGCCTCTCAGGCTGTAAATTCTGATTTTCATCTCTTCAGCGAGGCTACACGCATCTGCTGATCCTGAGAGAAGCCGCCGTCGTGGAAAAGGCACCTTCTAGCGAGCATCTGGGAGACTGAGGAAGCCGGCCGTCTTCGCCACCTTCAGCCATCCTGCAAGCTAGCGCCATCCGACGGATTCATATCCTTTTACCAAAAGCTTCTTGTATTGTGTGTGTGTATCTAAAAGAGCAGCGAGCGTCTTTTTTAAGATGCCTCGCACACCTGCGGCTCATGCCGCGTCCCTCTCAGCGCCAGAGCCCGCCTTCTTCTGCGCTCTATGCCTGGGACTGGGACACGCAGAGCTTTCTCTCGCCGACGGCGGATGTTTCCTCTGCGAATGGGCTTCTGTTGTTGACCCTGCGGGCTCGACTCGAAGCGTTACGCCGCCTCCCCCTCTCGCCGCGCTCTCCCGCGCTCATGAGAAACGTTCTCATTTCCGAGCATTAAGCTGGACAAATGGGTTATAGTGTGTTAGTTCCGCTGAGGCCGAACCTGTTACTGCTATCACGCCCTCTTATCTGCTCGCGCTACTGTGCTTGTGTCATTACCCCTGTGGCTCAGTGGTGTATCACAAAGCTTTTCGCACCAGAGACCCGCGTTCGATTCCGGCTCTCGCAGATAATTTTTATGCCGCGCGCATCACAAGTCCAGCCTCTGCAGGCTAAAAATAGTCTCGTGCCCGCTTGCAGCGCTCACGTTTCTAACACGCACTTGCACGTGACGCGCGTCACAAGTGCAGCCGTTTTCAGGCTATATATATATCCCGCTGCAGGCCGCTCAAGTGACCAGCCTCAGCTGAGAAAAGGACGGCTATTTCTCGCCATGGCCGAACCGCCATCAAAGTTTCGCCCTCTGTCAGTCCCCGTTCACACGGCTACTGCAGCAGTGTACACCGCCATCAACAAGCCGGTCTCTTTTCCCGCTTGCATGTGCACAAACGCCGTTTCACCGCGACCCAGAGAAATCTAAAAAAGTGCATAAAAGCCTCTTGTGTAGAAAATGTGCCCACAACACTGTGTTCACTCATACACAAAGCACTGCGTGTGCACAAACACCGTTTTCACGGCGACCCAGAGATATCTCAAAAAGAGCATAAAAACCTCTTGTGTAGAAAATGTGCCCACAACACTGTGTTCACTCATACACAAAGCACTGCATGTGCACAAACACCGTTTTCACGGTGACCCAGAGATATCTCAAAAAGAGCATAAAAGCCTCTTGTGTAGAAAATGTGCCCACAACACTGTGTTCACTCATACACAAAAGCATTTCAGTTCCCGTGTGTCTCACAGAGCCCACTCTCATAAAAGCGGTTCCAACCCGCTCGAGTTTCAGAGTGCGTAAGCGCGCCCACGAGCCCGTGTGCGCCTCCCACCTCTGCTCACTCTGTTACACGGCCCCTAAACTCATCTCTGAGTGTAAGTCCCGCTGTTATAAACACGATGAGCGCGCCCGCGCGGCCCGCTGTGTACAGCAACGGGGACCATGTAGCCATTCACCCCTTAGCGTTACGCGTCAAAGCGTGGGAAGCTATTCCGGGAATTTCCCAGTGGGTGCTAAACACAGTAAGGCTAGGCTATCGCTTACAGTTTCACCGCCGCCCTCCACGTTTTCGAGCGCGGCTAGAAACTATTGTGAACCCAGAAGCAGTGACTCTGCTCCGTTCAGAGATAGCAAAACTATTGTGCAAAAGGGGCTATAGAGAGAGTTCCTCTATCTATGAGAGAGTCGGGGTTTTACG